ACTGCGTAGAGCCGACATAGGCAACAAGAATGCGAAAGATGGAAAGCTTGCCGCAAACTGGGAAGACCCCTATAGAATCAAGAATGATCTAGGAAAGGGAGCCTACACCTTGGAAACTATCTCCAAAAAACCAGTAAAAAGGACTTGGAACGCGGATAAGTTGAAGATCTACTACAGCTAGGGTCTAGGCTCGACGCTCGAAGTAGAAAACGAGCTGTCAGGCTCGATTGATAGTTAGAGTTATTTCTACACCAATAAGACGAGTTATTAAGCTCAGTCGGTAGATAGATTTATTTTCAGGCAAATAAAATGAGCTCTTAAGCTCAGCCCTTGTACAAAAGATTTCATTGAAATGCAAGTAAAGCAGTTAATTAATTTCTGTCGTATATGCATATTGACTTCTGCTTAGGAAATTGAAGCCTCAGGAGCTTCCTGACCGAAAGGGAATAAAGTTTTCTTGACGAACAAAAAGTAACCCTATAATCGGCTAATGAAAAACCTCGACAAAATATAAGTCGATTGTGACGAGATCGAAATAAGCACTTCAAGCGTGAATAAAAAACAAGCAACGATCTCGGCAAAATGAAATTTGCGACATACAATTTAAAAAGCCGGACTAAAGCGGCAACCATGTTCTGACAAAATAAAAGAGGAGCTCAAAGGCTCCGTAATCAAAACAACACAATAAGGTCGGCATTCCAACCCCTTCATTCTTCTGCAGGAGGTGAAGTGGCGCGAAATTCGGTTCCGACCTCTCCTTCATCAGCAGACTCGGCATCTGGGGTTCCAGGGACTATAATGTTGTCCTTCACCTCGTAGGATACGTCCATGCCATCCACCACCATGCCAGGGTTCAGAATTTGAGCCTGAGCAATAGCGTTGTCGAAGGCTTGAATAGCGGCTCTTGCAACCACAACTTTGGCCTCTTCAAAATTGGCCTGCAAGTCAGCAAGGCGAGCATCCTTCTCCGCCATAGACCCCGAGAAGGACTCCTTCTCGACACGCAAGTCATTGGCCTCGGCGATAACCACCTCTAAGTCTTTCGAAGCCTTATCCAGGGCCAAGGACAGCTCTTGAATTCTGCCCTCCATGGTCGACTTAGATTTGCTCAGCTCCTCTACCCTGACGGAAAGATATGAGTTAGAAGCATTAGACAAATCAAGGCTCTGATTAAGATCCTGAAAGGTCTGGAGCAGTGAGATCGTTTTCAAAGAATCTTCTTCCATTCGCGCTAACATGGCCCTCACAGTGGTGGTCAAGCCCGAACTCCCAATGAGCCCGGAAGGAGGCTTGAGTACGGCCCTAAGGCGGTCCGAAACCCCCGTTCTCCATAATTCCCCAGGCTCGAGGCTGACCAAATTCCCTGGGAGAGCAGAGGGGGGAACTGAGAGCGGCGACGAAACAGGAGTCGAAGCATCAGCCATGGTCACCCCGGCGTCGACCGAGCTGCCGCCGAGTATGGAATCTATCCGCCTCTTCTTCGGAACTCCAGACTCTAGAGCGGCCGACTCTTTTGACTTTCCCTTTCCAGTTTTCTTAGGCAAAAACTTTTTGTATTCGGTAGAGGTCATGCTGACTGCAAAGGAAAGAAGAAAAGTCAAAATGCAGATTATCAATTTGAAAGGTAAGATGAACTACAACAAAAGATAAAAAATAAAATGAGCTACATACCGAGCTCAAAAATGGCATCCTCCCCAAACTTATCTACAACCCGACTTAGGTCAAAAACTCCGAACTCGTCGGTATATTCAATAAGAACTCGGACCGCTAGACGTTTCGAGCTGGAAAGGGCAGTTAAGGGAGTGCCGTAGTCCTTTGGACGCCTTTGATAATGTCTCGGCGTCCAGTATAGTTCAAACCGAGATAAAATGCCGCCAGCGTCGAGCCACTCCTCGGCAAACCAGGGAAGAGACTCAGAACGGGATACCACCTTAAAATAGGCGTCCTTGAAACCCTTAAAAGATTGGGAGTAAGGAATAAAAATCCCTCTGCCAGGGCTACCTCGTAGGGTAACCCATCCCTTCTTGGCCTTGGACTCGGCGCCAGTACGGAAGGTATATACATCAAAGAAGAAGAGGAAAAGAGCAACGGTGCAGGGGAGGCACAAGTATGCACACACCTGCTCAAAACCCCGTACGAAAGCCCATGAATTTGGATGGAGTTGTGAGGGTGAAACCCTAAGACGCCGAAGAACTGACATTTGAAAGTCGGTAAAAGGAAGCCGGATACCTAGTTTGGTAACAAGATCTCGGTAAAAGTAGAAGAAATGAGGCTCATCTAATATAGGACCTGAACATACAGGAAAGTCGCCAGGCGGAAGAAGATCAACCCCGTTGGGATTTCCCACAGGGAGTTGGGCCACCTCGGAAGGAGACATTGTGGATCGTCTTTGGAGAACTTCAAGAAGGACCCAATCTTGAGCGTCCGAACCATCCATGACGATATTCCTGGAATATGAAGGACAAAGATCAGTACACATGCCAACCGATTCCGACCGGGGACTACCAGCCTCGGAACGAGGCGAAGACGAACTCCAAGAGGGAGGAACGGAGCTATCCGAACTACTGACAAGATCGATAAATGAAACCCGACTTGTTGCAGAGTCCTTTGGGGAAGAAGGGGTGACTGACTTAGGAATTCCAATCTCAGACGAAGAGAGGCTGGATGAGCTAGCGCTCAAGTCAAGAGGAGGAATCCGATCCAAAACGGACCTCGTACCCGAGACCACCCTAGAGGATGGCAGTATATACGACAGCGGTACTGGTTCAGGAGAGGAGCTCATTCTGGGAGCGGAAGGAGGACTACTCGTACCAAGGTTAAGTCGGGATTGATGACCCCCTCTTGACCGACCCACTCCCCTCCTACCTCGGCCTCCACGAGAACTATGGCGGCCTCCACGGGGACCACGGAGAAGCTGTTGACGCTTCTCCTCCTCGGTGTATTCCCTACCAAAAAACCAGTACTGAACAGAGCGAGGCAACCGACTCACCACCTCTTCCTCTTCCCTCTCCTGGCCACGTAGACTGGATTCCGGACCAGAGGGAGAACTAGGGGCACTCATTACGAGCCCCCAAGAACAGGAAAGGAACCCTCAACACTTCGAAGAAGAAAAGGTATACCTCACCTTCAAGCTTAAACAGAGGTAACTACTCAATGCAACCTAACCCAACCAAAAAGAGATTTGTAAAAGCAAAGAGAATAGGAAGGTACCTGAACTTAGAAGCAAGGATGATGGGAACTAGACTCAATGCGTGAAAACCTTCACTGGAAGTGAGGAGAGCTCCAAGAGAGTTTATAAAACACGGAACCAGAACTGGAAAACGATTAACATCAAAAGCTCATTGCGAAACCAGACGAATGTAAAAGTTTTGAACCCATTCGAAAGCTGGTATTTAAAGGACGACGAATTGCTGGAGGCGCGAAGGCGAAGAGTTTTTCCAAACGGTTAAGTGATGGAGGGAAAAAAGGGGATTTCACCCTGAATGCATTAAATGCACTTCATCATAACCTGCATAAAAGTAAAGCAGAACGCCCTGCACGATGCACGAACTGCCAACGAGCGCGAAACACGTGGATCGCCTTAACCATCACAGCAAACGTGACACGAAAGGACATGACAAATGATAAGGCCAAGTTTCGATTTCCGTGTTCAAACAACGCCTAGACTTCAAAGGTCAGGAAAAGTAGGGCGTAGCTGAAGGTCGCAACATGACTTAGAACGTCAACTCGATCCAGCACTAGGAAAACAAAGCTCGGGTCAATGGTAGTCAAAAGTTCACAATAAGTTCAGGAAAATATCCGACATGCTTACATCCGACTTCAAACGCAAACACCATAAGAGGTCAAGAGGCGTGGTGAATATAAGCTCGACAAAACAACTGAGTCAGAATGCTGACGTCGAAAAACTCGGAAGTCCAAACCCGAGAACAATGAACGTGGATAAACTGAATCTGTGATAACATAATGGAACCTCGACATCCCGGACCCCGGAATACCGAGCTAGGGGGCAACTGTTATGGATATGAATATCATATCCCAACTACCTACTAGAATATCTGGTGAGATATGGAATCAGCAACATCTCAACAACTCCAAACAGCCAAAGGATATAAGATAAGGATCACATCCCAACAGAAGGAGGGTTGAATCATACTACGATTGAGGGGTCTCAAAAGGCACAAGCCTAGGAAGGTAATCCTATAAATAAGAGCCTAAGGACCCCAGGTAAACACTCAGAACTCATTTATTACTTCTGCCCATACTGTGCACACACCCACCCCTTGGCTATAAGCCTATTGCTTGTGCGCAGTGATTGGGACCTCGGCTGTAAGCCTAGTATACACTTGATATACACTATCTCTGAGCGCATACCTTACGGTATAGCAATACGGTCTATCCAGGACAGAACTATATATATATATATATATATATATATATATATATATATATATATATATACTCGCATCTTTTTGTAACCCAATATATTGTAGATTTGTAGTCATCCAAGTTTGATATTCGCAAAGACATACATGCTCTTAGTTGATTTTAGGACTTTAAAAGAACGAATTAATATTTTGTTTATTACCGTTCTCTCTTCGGCTTCAGGCTTTAGGCATGGCAAGTTAGGAGTGGGCCTAACGCAATACTGATTTATTTGATTCAAAGCCCAAACCCCGAACAATAGTTAAGCCCAGTATCAAATGCACAGCATTCTCATATGTAACTATGTAAGTGAACTAGGGTTTTGCGCGTTGCAGTTTGGAGACACAAACAAAGAGGCGCTAGAGAGAGGGAGAGGAAGAGGAGGTAGTTGCAGAGATGAAGACTATCCTTTCTTCTGAGACTATGAACATTCCCGATGGCGTGAGCATCAAGGTGCACGCCAAGGTCATCGAAGTTGAAGGCCCTCGTGGCAAGTTGGTCCGAGATTTTAAGCATTTGAATCTTGATTTCGAGCTCATCACCGACGATAACGGCCAGAAGAAGCTTAAGATCGAAGCCTGGTTCGGATCCCGTAAAACCTCCGCCTCCATACGCACTGCCCTCAGCCACGTCGGGAATCTCATCACCGGCGTCACCAAGGGATATCGCTACAAGATGAGGTTCGTCTACGCTCACTTCCCCATCAACGCTAGCATCACCAACAGCAACTCTTCCATCGAAATCCGAAATTTCCTCGGCGAAAAGAAGGTGCTTTTCCCACGTTGTGTTAATCTTTTGACTTTGTTAAGGTTGCTTTAGATGACAGAGATTAGTACCAAATGACGAGGCTACTGATGACTTGTGTTTATTTTCAAACAATTTAATTTTATGTGTGTGTGATTTACCGGTATAATACTGTGTTAAATTGTAATAATATAGTTTCTTTGTGATTAATTTAATTTATGTGTTTGGTGACTGTATGTCGTTTAGGTGAGGAAAGTGGACATGCTTGCAGGAGTTTCCGTTGTTCGATCTGAAAAGGTTAAGGATGAGTTGGTTTTGGATGGTAATGATATTGAATTAGTTTCTCGATCCTGTGCTCTCATTAACCAGGTATAAATACTCTTTCTCTTTCTTTATACACATGTCTATGCTCAAACCTTATTCGATTTTTATTTTGCTTGGTTTTTTATTTTTATTAATATACATTTTTTTTGCAATAGAAATGCCATGTCAAAAATAAGGATATCCGGAAGTTCCTTGATGGTATTTATGTTAGCGAGAAGGGGACCATATTTGAAGAGTAGTGGTGAAAACAGGCATTTTGTTGTTGTTTTAAAATTTGAATTAAGCTTCTCTTCTGCTTTTTAGTGGCGAGTATTTGGACACAGTTTTTATTAGCTTGTTGAGAATGGATTTTGCAATTTTGTGTTATCGAAGTTATCTTTTTGGAGATCTTACTTGAAATTATTTCTTCTACATGCTTTGTTTTGGAATATTTGCTACAAATAGTAATCCATCATATATTGCTGCTTACTGGTGACTTATTTGTTGAGCGGTTTTCTGGTAAGATTTAATGTCTTGAGATGAGAACACAAAGAATAGGTGATTAACTGAATTAACAAGTGTTCAAATAGTGCAATTTGAAATGGTTAACTTTAGTAATTGATTTCATGTGGTTAATGCGCTATTACAGTTAGAAGTTAAATATGATTAAAGATAGAAGTTATCTCATTTCAAGCTTTCGCCAAAGCAAAACGAAAGTTATTTTATTATTATTTGTTTAATATTTTTCCCTAACAAAGATTGTATAAATCGTGCTTGATTTGATTACCTGATACCTCCTCCCTCCTCTCTCCCCCCAAATTTATATTACAAATTTCAACTGCTGTCTTTCAATTTCAGTTGAGTCCACCGTTTTTAGCAGCATCTACCATATAATCCTATTGAAAGGTTGAGAACTTGAATATTTTTTTGTGTGTGGCGATTATGGGCGTCAATGCTTATGCCAAATCTTATGTATTGCTTAATCTTTTGGTCTCCATAATCAACGATGGCTGTGGGGACCAATTATAAAGCAGTTGCAGCTCAATTTTACAAAAGATCTCAGTTTATCCATGAAAATCACTTTCTGATGATGGAGTAACTCTTAAGCATGGTTGTGTATTAAATCTCTCTGCCTTTCTATTTGAATGCTTGTTTGAGCGGTTCCCAACTTATTTAGAATACTATAACAAAATCCACAAAACACTATTGGCAATTAACCTGCACTTGCCAACTATTGGCAATTAACCTGCACTTGCCAACTATTGGCAGCTGCTAAAAAGTCTCCTACACAAAATTACCGTTAATATGGTACGCATACAGTTAAGTGGTTTTTAATTTATTGTGATTAAATTCAAAGATCTTTACATGAAATTTAGTATGCGTGTAACTTCACGCAGCTTTTTGAATTCTGTGGCTGTAGTATCCGTGGCTCTGGCTGTCCTTTTTTTGCCGTCAGTCAGGGCTGCTGTTAAATCTAACACTTCGATGGAGGCTGGTAATAATACATCATGGCCTCCAAACAAACAAGGCAGCTGCACATTTTTCTGAAGGTGGGTATCTAATAATACCATATTTGGTACAAGTTTACAAAAAAAATTATCAGAAAAATATTTTTGCAGTTAATGCAGTTAAGTTATCTGGATTTACTTCCATAATAATGTTGTTTTGTGATTGAAAGATTAAAAAATTATAATTATAAATACTATAATAACTCTAAAATAAATTAAAATTATAAAAATATCATGATTTTCGTCTCTAAACGACGTCGTATTGGACTTACTGTAGATAACTTATCTGCAGTTACGGTAGAAAAAATGAACCTAATTTGTCATTTGTGTGTATTTTGTGATGAAAATTACTATTTTAAAATATCACTTTTGGGATTATTGGTTAAGTGAAGAATATTTTTGGCAAGAGTTGTTCTGATTCAAAAATTATAAGGGTTATTTCATAATTTTAACTCATTTTCTTATCAATATTTTACTTTTGACCAAATATAGATTTAGAAAAATTTAATCTAATTTTTTCGGTAATATTTTGGCCTATCAAACAATTTTATTTTATTTTTTAACTTTTCTACTAAACTTACTTTTTCATCATATTCCTAGTAATAATATTTTCCTGGTAAATTTTTTTCTTCTTCTACCAAACAGGTGTATGCTATAGAGGGAAGCTTTCAGATCCTTTGGTTGTTTGTATACTGGATAGGGCGATTTATGTTTGTATTTTGGGTGTGCTGTTGGATTTCTTTCAAGCTTCGCTGCCTCTACGTAAGTGTGCTTGCGACTCTGTAGAGTTTGCTTGTTATGTGATGGACCAAAAATGATTGTAATAGGTAAATAAAATGAGATTTTTCTTGACTGGGGCAAATGGAACAATTCAGAGTAGCAAAACTATGGAAAATGACAAATATGGGTTGAGTCAAACTCTTCAATTTTGAATTCAAATTGAGAACGATAAACAGCCCACAAATATTGGGCTCGATCCCGGGGTAACGTTTAGAGCTAATTAAAACCAGATGATGAGTTGGGTATTCACCTGCTAGGTTATTCTATTATTGTCACTTTGTTTTTGTTTTTTGGTAAGAGTCACACAATTTCGGTAAGTAGTAGCTTCACACAATTTGGGTGTATTTCGGCAGTTAAGTCATTCCACACAATTTGAAATATCCATATTGTAAGTGAAATTTGCGTTGGATTTTGTAGTCCCACTTCTATTATAATCAACTACCATTGGATATTATGACATATGATTTGTTTTAATAACTAATAACAATAATCAAATAAGGTGGTTTATTTTTAATAACTAATTGTCAAACTTATTGTATTTTACACAAATTATTTATGTTGAAATAACTTTACGAGACTCTTGTAAAGGAAGAGTTTCTCTTTTCTCATGTCACATGAGATAACATCTCTCATTCTATAGACCCAACAAATGGTAGGTTCTATCATTTGTTAAAAAAATAAAAATCAAAAAGAAGATAGCACGGATTTCGATACCTCATAACATAAGAAATCAATCTTCATCAATATGAGAAAATGATTTTCATAAAAAAATCATCTTTCCAAAGAATAGCGTCATTATTATTTAACACGAGTTGGTTTTTAAAATGTATTCACTTGTCTTACAAAAGTATCACTTTGTGTTGGTACAATTTAATATTGGAAAATATTTTTCTCATGTTGCATCAGACAATTTGTCTCATGCAACACACACAAAGTGGATGTGACCCACTTTTTTCTTTCTCTCTCCTTTTTTTAGTGGGTCCCACCTATTTTTTTGTGTATTGCATGAGACAAATTTGTCTCATGCAACATGAGAAAAACATTTCCCTTTAATATTTTGGGAGGATGACGCATTCACTTATTTATTAATTTTCTTACCACATGAGTCCTAATTATTATTTTTATTTATTCTGTGATTTTATATAAGATAGATATGAATATATAAGATATTGCGCAGTATAAAGTAATCTTGTTGAGTTTTTATGTATAAATGGACGGGGGTAGAAACGTAAATCGTAAAAACAACACAAAATTTAATATTAAGATACAAAATTATATATGGGTTCGCTTTTTCTGCAGTAACTTCAGATAAGTTATATACAATAAACCCAATACGACGTCGTTTTGGGAGGAAATCATGGTATTTTTATAATTTTAATTTATTTTAGGATCATAATAGTCTTTATAATTATAATCTTTCAATCCCAAAACGATGTCGTTTTGGGAATAAATGCAGATAACTTATCTGCAGTAACTGCAGAAATATTTTTCTGATTATATATATATATATATATATGGGTGAGGATCATTTTACACCAGTGTAAGTTACACTCTCAATCTTGTCCGCTGATCCCACTTATATCTAAGGGCTCAAATTTTTTAGTAATGTGAGCCATTAGATACAAGGGATCAATGGTCAAGATTGAGTGTAAGACTTGTAACTCTTACACCGGTGTAAGAATATCCTGCCCCTATATATATATATATATATATATATATATATATATATATATATATATATATGAGGTAAGATATTCTTACACCGGTATAAGAGTTAGAAGTCTTACACTCAATCTTGACCATTGATTTGCTTGTATCCAATGGCTCATGAGGTAAGATATGGAGAATTATGACCATACAAAGATGGAAATAAATATAACCGTTGGATCCACATAATCGATCTAACGGTGAGATTGATTGGTAGTCACTTGGTAGTAACACAACTTGGTTGTCACAATATTTTTCCCCTATTTTTATATTTCTTTTATCTACATATTTATTTTCACTCATATATATATATATATATATATATATATATATATATATATATATATAGGGTAAATGATTTCTTCAGTCAATGGAGATCAGTTATCTCTGGTGAGTCCAAAACGACGTCGTTTTGGGACAGAAATCAAGGTGCTTTTGTAATTATAATATATTACATGATTATATTAGTCTTTATCATTATAATTTTTTAATCTTATAATCCCAAAACGACGTCGTTTTAAACTCACCGGAGATAACTTTATCACCAGTGACTGGAGAAATACTTTTCCCATATATATATATGGGAAAAATATTTCTGCAATTAATGCAGATAAGTTATCTGCATTTATTTCCAAAACGAATTTTGGTATTGAAATCTTAACAAATTTATATATAAAGACTATTATAACCCTGAAATAAATTAAAATTACAAAAATACCATGATTTCCGCCCCAAAACGACGTCGTAGTATTAGACTTATCTGCAGTAACTACATAAAAAGCAAACCCTTTAATAATGGGAAAATATTTTTGCAGTTAAAGCAGATAAGTTATCTGTATTTTTTCTCAAAACGACGTTGTTTTGAGATTGAAAGATTACAAAATTATAAATATAAAAGCTATTATAACTCTGAAATAAATTAAAATTACAAAAATACAATGATTTCCACCCCAATACGACGTCGTATTGGGCTTACTGCAGATAACTTATCTGCAGTAACTGTAGAAAAAGCGAATCCTTTAATAATTTATATTTATTTTTATCATTGTATGATTATGATTCCTCATATTTAATGTGAGAAATAAATGTTACCGTTGGATCAACATAATTAATGTAACTGTAAAATTGATTGATAGTAACTCTAATTGATTGTTACAATATCTTATCCTCTATATATATATATATATATTATTTTTTATTTTTTGGGGCAAGGACCATGTGGAAAGAAATTTTTTGCATACCGTTAGATCGACATAATTAATTTAAAGATAAAATTGATTTATAATAATCTTAATTATTGTTACAATATCTTATCCTATATATATATATATATTATTTTTTTTTATTTTTAATTTTAATTTTTGGGGCAAGGACGATATGGAAAGAAATTTTTTTCGTGTAAGATTTTTTTTTTTTTTTACAAGTCTGGGCCCACAAAACTTAGAGGAGAGGTTTTACTAGGGTTTAATTAAATTAATTAAAAAGACAAGAAAATTGATGAACCCAGTTGCAGAGAAATCCAAAGCACGGAAATGACGAGCATTCTGAGAACCAATTCAGCGAGAAACGCACTGCGTTGTTTGAGGCAGTCCTCTTTGCTTCCCTCTCAACTCTCCACTGTTCGCTATCTTCGCACTGGTCGCGATCCTATCTCCAGGTTAATTTTGATTGCTACTCAGTTGTGCTGGAAACAAACTATGCTTTTTTTTATATATATATTTTTAATAATTTTGAATTGTTAATCAGGACTTATGAGATTATTCCTCCGGTGAACTGGGGGATTCGGATTGTGCCGGAGAAGAGAGCGTTTGTGATTGAACGATTCGGGAAGTACGTTAAGACTCTTCCCTCTGGCATCCATTTTTTGGTCCCTTTCGTTGATCGAATTGCTTATGTGCATTCGCTCAAGGAGGAGGCCATCAGCATTCCCGACCAATCTGCTATCACTAAGGATAATGTCACCATACTTATCGATGGGGTGCTTTATGTTAAGGTGTCGATTTTTGATCTCTATTAATTCGATTATTTCCTTTTCTTGTTTATGTTCGTGGGTTAATGTTTTTTTTTTTTTTTAATTATTTTTTTGGAGTGCAGATTGTGGATCCTAAATTGGCTTCTTATGGGGTAGAGAATCCCATTTATGCTGTCATTCAGCTGGCACAAACGACAATGCGTAGTGAGCTTGGTAAGATTACTCTTGATAAGACCTTTGAGGAAAGGGATACACTGAATGAAAAGATTGTGGTGAGTTTGGTTCTTTGAATTTTGTTCATTCTTACTTAGAGAAGCATCTTAACTACTTTGATTTCTAAGTTATATTTAAAATTTTGCTGGTGGAAGTCTTGGGGTAAGCAGCACTTAGGTTTGTCCCAAAAAGGATTTGCCTCTTTTGATGGAGCTATATGGACTTGGTGGAAAAGATGTTTTATCTTACATGCAATTAAATAGTCATATTTGAATCCAGTTATATGAAGACGAAGGAAAACAGAAAGGAACAAAACATGAGCCAAAGAAGAACATTTTGCGAGTTTGTATTGGTTGGTTGTGTGATATTGGTCCCTTTCCTCCTATAATTAGATGCAATGTGGCCTTTAATTGATGATAACATAGGTTCCAATTGGTGCTGTGATTAGCAACATGTTAATTCACTTCAGCAACTTTACTTTAGTACATTTATGTAGGCAGTTAATCACCTGTTGCCTTATAGTCAACCACTCACCCCCAAGCTCAGGGAAGGCATTATTATTCTTTGACGCTCAAACTGATAGGTACTTGAATTTTCAGTGGCCACAACTTATACAATTCCATATTTAGCATCAAAATTGAATCTTATCCTCGAACACTAGTGCAAACTCAAACCTAGGCAGTAAAAGCATTCATCTTCAGAACCAAATACAGAATGTAAAGAAACATAAAATGTAAAAGAAACCAAATGCAGCTTCAGTTTTCAAGTTAGGTTTAATTTGAGAATTTTGTAAGAACTCAGAATTTACACATTACATGTGCATGATTGATTTTAGTTTCAAAGTTTCCCCAACAATTCGAGATGATTTCAGTTAATGTTCAATTTCTTTTACCCTTGTATATTGTGGCTAATTATATCTATGGCGAGCCTCGTATGTGCCATGCCATGCCTTTAATTGTATTTGGGTCAGTATTTTGGTTATGGGATTTGAAACATGAATGCCTTATGTTAGAAATACCTTGTAGATTTGTGCTTAAGTGTACGGTCAATCACGGATTTAATTAAGGAGCTATTTTAGGAGGTGATTACTATTGTAATTATGAATGTAATTGATACCATACTAGTATAAATGTATCCTTTTGTGGTCTTTCTTACAAATTCCTTGTTGATGTATACCTTGTGTGCCGCTCCTGTGAAGCACTTCTCTACATGAGCTGTGTTAATGTGACATGCTATAAAATTCATTGCATTGACTATAATTAGCAAATTCTAATAACTGAATATCCCTCTCTTTCTTTTCCCCATCCCTTATTCCTTTTTGCATTTCTTTCTCTGGATTCAGAAAAGTAGAGTACCACATCTCCATCATATCTGCAGTGGGGAAAATTGATAGAACCCACATTTCCTTTCACAAATTTAGATTCCAAGGCATGTAGTTGCTGACAACAAAATATTTTACAAAATCTTATGATCATCCATGTAAGATGCATTTTTAATTGGGATTAGGAAGCAATTCTTACAATTACTTATGGGTTTATATGCTAGATTTAATTAGAATGCCTGGCAGGTGTATTCACTAGTGTTTTTGAATAACCTCTTTCTGGGCACATCCTTACCCGTTTGAACGTGGTTTCTAAACCTGCTTGGTGTTTGGTGCCTAGGTGTTAGTATTTAACAATGAAAGGAGATAATAAACATGAACTAACAGATATGGGCTTGCCCTTCTGTAGGAGTTAGACTTGTTTTTTGCTTCTGATGTAGCAAAAAAAAATGTACTAACTTAATTTTCAAATTCACCTTGAAGAAGTATATAAAGAACAAAATGCAGCCAAATAATAATGGTTAATTTTGTGTCAAAATTATTGCAGGAGTCCATTAATGTGGCTGCAAAAAGTTGGGGTCTGGAGTGCCTTCGATATGAAATAAGTCAGTTTTGGCAATGTTTGAAAGATTTTCCTTTATTTTTTGTTTGACAGTTTTTGTGTAATTTCTTTTGTGGTTGTCCTTCTGCAGGGGATATCTCTCCTCCGCGTGGAGTGAGAGCAGCTATGGAGATGCAAGCAGAAGCAGAGCGGAAAAAGAGAGCTCAAATTCTTGAGTCTGAAGGTAATCCATTTGATTTTTCAATTCTTCATATGTTCAAGGATGATTTTATACATCATTTATCATCCTGAAAATAGTTTTAGTACCCATTTTATTGAACTCTGTAGCTTCTATGTTTATTGGCATTGATGAACTTTACTGTTAAACAGGAGAAAGACAGGCCCACATAAACATTGCCGATGGAAAGAAGAGTTCAGTGATCTTAGCCTCAGAAGCTGCAAAGATGGATCAAGTTAACAGAGCTCTAGGTTAATTACATGTTGATATATCAGTTCCAACTTCCAATTGAGTAGCAACATTAATTCTCTAAGATAGCTTTGATGTCTGCTGAACATGATGTGCTAACTCTTTCTTTGATTTCAAACTGTTATTTATATGAGGGTGTTCATATGAAAATTCTCTTTTAGAGAGGGATGATTTTCTGCATGAGAAGATGATGATGAATTGGGGATTGAACCATAATCTTAATTGAGTACCTGACATGTGTTCTTTTGTTACATGCCACCATTAATGTTGTGCTCAAATTGGCATGCTATCATCTTCTGTTTTCTTCATCTATCAATTGCTTTTGGAAGAAACCACAACCGATGAGCTTGATTGATGTTCCCTTATTGTCACTTCCCCTTGATAACTTTAAAACCTTACAATTGACATCATTCTTTTTCAGGTGAGGCTGAAGCCATCCTTGCTAAAGCAAGAGCAACAGCTGAAGGACTTGCTGTTGTGTCAAAATCCCTAAAAGAAAATGGAGGACCAGAGGTGAGGTTCTTCTGTTTTTTCATATTCCATATATCACAGCTTGTACAAGCAGTGAATTGTATGTTGATTTGTTTAATTCATTGTTGGTTGTTATATATTGCATATGTCAAAAAAAAAATTGTTCATATCATTTTAGTAATTTTCTAGCTTTTCGTATAGATTTTTGAATGTGTTGGCCGAAGAATAAAAAAGTGTAGAATGCAAACACCTTATGCTTAGATTTCTATTGTTTGAATGTCAATGATGCTGCATTTTCAATTTTTTGATATGCTACCATTCGAGCCAGGTAGACTAAATGTGTGAGTGTGACTGTGATATGTATATAAACAATATTATTGCAGTCACAGCAATGTTTTATTTTTTGTAAACATTTGAGTGTGAGACCATATAAATAGGGTAGAAGGGTTTATTATGTCATCTCTGAAGCTGAAAAAAATAAAATCAAATAAAATCTTTTAGTATTGTCATTTGGAATTAATATTGTCATTTGGTTTGCAGGCAGCCAGTTTAAGGATTGCAGAGCAATATATTCAAGCTTTTAGTAACATAGCCAAGGAGGTAATAGCCTACAAGCTGATTGATATACAATTTCCTGCATTGCACAATTTGTTCACTATGAAGTTGGTTTTATATTTGTTCTTTACTTTTTCCTCAGGGCACAACAATGTTGCTTCCTAGCTCTGCATCCAATCCTGCTAACATGATGGCTCAAGCCCTAACTATGTATAAAAGCCTGATTGGTAATGCTTCCAGTGATAATCATAGTGGAACTACACCCCGTTCAATAGCAGGACAGATTGAAGGAAATGATTCCTCTGGCAAGGTTAAAGATGAGAGCTCTACAGCTGCTACTAAAACTACCGGGAACCCAGATTATCGTGGAAATTCTGGATTTTCACTTCAGAGCCCCCCAAAAAGGGAATAATCTTTAATTTTACTAAACTTGCCATTCGGATGAATTCATTTGTTTTTTGATCTATGCATGTTACTGTGAAATTTAAGTTTGGGGAGGGAGGGAGGCGAAAGAGTTTGTTGGACTTCTTTATATTTTTAGTTTCGGTAGCATTGATCATAGGATACGCCCAATTTATGACTAGACAATGAATGTCTCTTTCTTCCTAACTGGCAAATTTGGGGAGGAAAGAATGAAAAGAAAAGAAGAGAGATGTTCTGCCTTCTCTCATGTATTTCCATACTACTAGTATTTCCTTCCTTAAATAATGCTTGGCTGCACACTAACTGTGTTGCTTAGTTTGAATTTAGCTGAATTTTTTTAAAAAGGGTTGATGTTTATGCAGTGCATTTACTGTAATGGAAAACGATGGGTGCTTCCCGATTTTGCAACCGGACTCTGGAAAACGTAAAGATTAGACATGGTGTTTAAAGTATTTACCAGGGTATAAACATTACTTTATCGTGATAAGTATGCCTAAGGACTTGATTTTCAATGGAATTGCTGATTTGATTTATTTAAAAATATTAAAATGTTATATTGTCTTTGTATTGAGATGCCCCAATGGTTGAGCACAAGGCATTCCATTTTAGCGGTTCAAATTCTACCTAAAATGCAATTATTTGCCAGCAACCTGATTTGTATGCATTAGATCATGCATGAGTAACGCTTTTTCTGTCAAAATGCCTCATAAGGTAGTCATTCTATTGTTTCCCTTACATCGCAAAATTACCAAAACCCAATTATTTTAGCTAGATGATTTTGATGCTCCGTTTCATTATTATCAATAACTAAAAAATAGCATGCATTAGCGCAAGTTCGCATAAAATGACCACATTAAATTTGAAACTTTGAAGGGTACAAGAAGTTGAAAGTCGAATCAAATTTTTTTCACAAATGTTAGGCCACCGAGGATTTTCGCAACTTTGTGAGCATGAAACGTGCAGGAAATATAAAGATAGAGTTTCAGTTGTATCATTATTCTAGGTTAAAAGACAGAGATTAAGAGCCAGTTTGGATGAGTTTTTTTTTTTCTTCAAAAGTTAACTTTTTTTAAAAAAAAAGTACTTTTCGAAAAAAGTCTGTTTGGATGTCTGCTTTTAAAAAAAGCAGAAGTCATAAAAAAAGTCAAAAACTTTTAAAAAAATCAGAAATCAAAAGTCAAATATTTTTTTTAAAATCTAAATAGTTGTAACTTTTATAAAAAGTACTCTTAAAATAAAGAAGTGATAAAAAAGACTTTCTTAAAAAGTCAATACAAACGAGCTCCAAGAGCAGTCCTAAAGTTACCGACCAAACCACACCGACACCATAGAACAAGAAAGGGAAGCATTGACAGGGCCTTGGACGAAAGCAAGGTAATAATAGCAAAGCAGGCACTATTCCCAGTTATGCATATACTCCCAAATCCCAATCACTCAATTCACCATTCCCCCAAATAACAGAAGCACAAGAAGTGGGTAGTGTTGAAAGGCCATTGACTTAATAACTTTCAAAATCTGTACAAAATCCAATAACGAATACACGTATCCTGGTGACATGTTCGATTATTATCACGGAAGGATTAAAGAAATAAGCTATTACTTGAGCTAACAACTGGAAGATGCATTCAAATTAAAATCCCAGTTTAATAAATAATTTCCTAGACGTCCCATTCCTATAACAGCGTTCCAAAGTTAAACTTTCACTATGATGGAAGGATTCATCTTAAAATATTGGTTGATTGACATAAATTGTTTATGTTTCAGTTGATCAACATGATTGATATGTAAATATTTGCTGGAAGTGGCCCACCAAACAACTAATAGTGTTCTAATTTAAAAAACACGCTAGTGAGTTCGTTTTATTAAAGGAGTCCTATCAATAGCGTTCTCCATCAAACCCAAAAAAAAAGAAAAAAAAAAAAAGCAAATGAACACTCTTGGCTTATATTATACCACAACAATCACAAAAAAAAAAAAAAAAAAGACACATCGATATTCAATATAAAAGAACCGCGGAATGGTTAATTAACAAAAGAATTTCAAAAGAAGGAAAATCAATATCTTTATATTCATGTATTAAAAACATAAAAATATAAATATCTATATATTCCTAAATGTAGAAGAAGACCAGACATCCTCGTAATTAGAAAAGACCAAAGAAAACGGAGAAGGCCAACACAATGAGCCACACAATATGCACAAGCAGCAGTGCCTGACCAGACAAAGGTGCTGAAACCCCATTCCCCACTTCACAAAACCCTAACTTCGAAACTTTTGCGCCGGCGCATGCGGCATCGGCGCACCCACACCAATACGTCACGCCGTCCACGCCGCAAACGGGGTCGGTCCGGAAGCACTTAACTGGGCACGACGACGGCGCTGCCCCAGAGCACGGATTCTGGCTTTCGCCGGCGGCTTGGGACGGTAACCGGATGACCGGCGAGGGTTCGTCTTTGGCCAGTACGGACGGGAAGAAGCAGAGGGCGAAGACGGCGATCGCAACTGCTGAAAGACGCGGTGCTTTGCAGTTTCCGGCCATGAGAAGTTTACCGGAACGGCAAGCTTTTCGTAGAGTAAAGCTTGCCTGCGGAATCGGAGAACCCAATGGGTGTAGATTATATCTGAATTGCGGTGGTGATCGGAAGAAATGGGGTTGAATTGAAGGGAGGAAATTGAGGGGGTTCGTTGGATCGAAAGAAAGAAAGAAAGAAAGAATCTTTGCCGGAAAAGGAAAATGGGTATTTAATTTTTTGCTTATGGTTTAAGAAATGAGAATGCAATGCAACAGAAGATGTATTTTAAAGAAAAAAAGATTAATGCATGCATGGAAAGAAGGCGTTTATCGTTTTACAAAAAAAGAAGAAGAAGGCGTTTATCAAGCCTTTTTATTGAACGCTGATATAATAATAAAATTTTATTAAAAATAATCATCAGTCAACGAAATGCTTAATGAATATATCATTAGAGAAATAAAAAAAAATGGAAACCGAAGTATTATTCTTAAAATGTCATTATAATATTTACTTGAAAGTATTTAAAAAAGGGTTAATAGTCGCTCATGTTTGAGGAGAATATTTTTTTTTTTTTTTGCTGACACAATCAACTAATGGTGACCACCGAAAATGTGTGAAACCCACAACCAATATGTTGGGCCCACTTGTTGGTTGTGTCAGCAATATTATTATTTTTTTCTTTTGTGATATAAGAGACTATTAATCTTTTTTAAAAAATATATACAATTGTTATCTTGAAATCATAAAAAAATTGCTTTTTAAAATTATTTAAGCTATGACATTTTATGTGACAGTGACAAAAAACCACCCTAAAAACTGAATCTTCATGTACTAAAAAAAAAAAAAAAAAACTGAATATTCGCTCTCAAAATAGGCTGTTCTAACAAAAATGAAATCAAAAGTTAAGCTTAAACGCGAAATAATGCTACTATGCAAAAATAAAATAGAGATAATAACAGGAATAATAATTAAAAATAATATCATCATATTGTATTAAGAAACTGACATAAAAACATTGAAGAAACTGACATAAAAATTGAGAATATATTTCAAATAAAGAAAAGAAAAAATAAGAGCTATGGTTCAGGCACGAATCACAAGTGGACAAAAGTAAGTTTTCTTACAAGTCCTTATCTCTCCCCCCCCGGCCCCCATAAACTTTATTGTGATGCTATTATTATTTTTAATATTTTTTGATGATTATTAAGCTAGGAAACAGTTATTTTCAGTTTTTAATTATCAATATATAATTAGATCAGATACTGTTTGATTGTGTCTACATGTCTAATTGAGCTGGCTTCTTTGTTGAGAATAAGCTTACACTCACTCTAATAAGCAAGTAAGCAACAACATTGTATCTCAAATTTATAATAACTAGGCTAATTAAATACTGTTATTATATCCTTATTATTACAATTTTTTAAATAAAAAAAATTGACGTAAGGAAAGAGTAAGACTTAAAAATTACGGATTAGTGTTTGTATTTTTAAAAAATATAAAATTACGTTATTCTAATCAAAACTATAATATTTTATGGTGAAAGAAAGAGTTACAAAATAGAAATTATAGTGATAGAAAATGAGAGTTTTTTTAACAAAAAATTTAAATGAAATTAGACACAAATATCGATCTCTCAATTTCTTTGAAGACTCCTGAAAGGATTTATCATTCACAAACAAAATTATCACATCGATCCTTGGAGTTTGAACCAAAATATAATTATTTTAATTAAAATAATTATTATTTAAAAGGACAAATAGACATAGTTGTCAAAAAAAAAAAGGACAAGTATTTATTTTCTAAAAATTAAGATTAGACAGTGAAGATGATTAACTGATCATCGAGTATCACGCTTTTTAACTATGGCCAGCTTGATTTAGGCAGAAAGTTGAAAAAGGAAAGAATAGTACAAATCAAAATAAAGAAGAACATGTACGTTATATTTATAATTTTTTTTTTTTTATAAACTCTTACAAACTATATTAACTGTAGTGTACGACCGATCGTACTTAGTATAATTTACAAAAAAAATTTGTAAACGGATCCTATCCCTAGAAGAATATAATTAGAAACAATATTTCCAGGCAAGAGGCTCTTGGGTACCCCGCTGGATCAAATCCTGTTCCGAGATTATGGATGTGTAAAATAATCAAAAAATTAAACCGAACCATGAATCAAATCGAACTACCCTTAAAATAACTGGTTTTTAAAAACCAGTTCATAACCGAACCGATTTTTAAAGAATTAGTTCATGAACCGAACCGGTTTTTAGAATCAGTGTAAGAACCGAACCATTTTGAATCGAACCAAACTGTTTCCGAACAGAACTGAACTGTTTTCTAATCGAACCAAATTGATTTTTATAACTTTATTTTTTTAATTTTTAATTTTATTTTTTTTCAAAAGAGGGTTGATCCAAACCGATTCCGAAATGAACCGAACCACTTCCGAACAGAACTAGTTTTGAACCGAACCGAACAACTTCCGAACCGAATCATTTAAACCAAATCGGTTCGATTTTTTAAAAAATCCAGTTTAGTTCGACCCATGCATATCCCTACTCCAGATGCCAAAAAAAAAAAGAAATTTATAAAACTACAAAAATATATAAATATAAATAAAATAAAATGTAAAACTTAGCTTTCTTTTGTGCCTGTAATTATTGAAGGAGCTAACAAAGAATGAAATAACAAATATTATTGAAGAAAAAGAAAAAAGTTGCCGGTAAAAAAAAATTTGCTCTGGATTTTAAGCAGTGTAGTTGAATAGTTGATTTAAACAGAATTAGAGAAGATATGCTGTGGCTAGCATGTATCTTGGGGGGCCTTAACTGTTTGTAATTGCTTTTTTTTTTAATGTAATGTTTAAATAAATAAAAACAAAAACAATAGTTTGGCCCCCTCACCATTAAATTTTAGATAGACTCCCCTTTTGATTTTATTCTAGCTCTGCTGGCAGTTCATAGTATTATATATGAATTTTGAAATGAAAGAACGTTTGTTTTATGAGTTTTATAATTCTCATTTTATATGAGAATTGAAATCTCATGTCATAGAAATAAAAAACACGTGAAACTCATATGTTAGAAAAAATTATTTGTGGAACTTGTATCAGCACGAAAATCGAAGAGTGTGTAGAAAAATTTCAAACTCTCATATTACATGAGAATTATAAAATCCTTATTTTATCCCATGATGTATTTAATAACAAAGGTGAAAAAGTTAAAGAGTATTATATCTGACAATGAGGGTGAACACAATTGATTAAGGATTAGATTCATATCTTATAAAGGTGTGAGTTTGAATCTCTCTAGTCTATGTGAGAATCTTGTTCGTGGATAATCCTCACCTAAATTTTTTATGTAAAAAAAAGTGTACTATAACTTTTTAACTTCTAAACAATATTTTCATTATTAATGTATGCTTTTTTAAAAGTTAATTTTATTAATTTAGATTCTTAAAATATCAAAATTCTCAATTGTTGAGTCTCGCTGTAATGAAGCAATTACCACGTAACCATGCCTACCACTTGAGACATGAAAATTGTCCCTTTTTCCATAATTATGTAGGTAGGAAGATTGGTTCATCTGTTGAGGGAAGGTAATCAACCAGCAAAAACACTTCCGTTTTAGTTGGTGCTTCCCAACAAGAAATGTTATTCTTTTGCTATATATCTACACACATGGTCTTGTTACAAATAGATATGATGTTGGGTCCCCATGCCACCATTAAGTTTCTTTCTTCTTCTTTTTTCCTTCTCTTTCTATTACTATAGCATCTTAGTCCCAATATTACTACAGGAGGTGATGGTTCTGTCCCCGAAAAAGATAGGAGTTGATTACTCGGTGTTTGACAAAATATCTAAAGAAGTTTGGCAAATTTTGAAGCTGTCTTACAAAGGTGTAGATAAGGGGAAAACTTCAAATTGCAATCCTTATGAAGAGATTACGAAACGTCCAATTCAAAAGATGTTTATTAATATTTTCAAAAGATGATAGAGGAAAAAAATATCAAACTATCAGTATAATTTATACTTCTTGGTGGGCGCAGTAGCTGTTGTTGCTTAGGGTTTGTAATCCAATATTTTATTATAAACTAAGTGACTTAAGTGCAATAAAAACAATATAGTGCACATTGATGGACGTAACTAACATTGAGTGAACAAAGTAAATTGTTGTCTCACTTTTCTTCTCATTCTCCCTTTTAGATTCGACATGATGCGTGTGATTGTATCAATTCCAACACAAACTACAATATGGTGGATAAAAAAATATTTTTACTATGTCAATCAAATTTGACCATGTGGTGACCATAATAAATAGAATCATACAGTGTACATAGAAAACACAATGACAATTGCGTAGTTGTAAGGAAGTGTAGAAAGTCATGTGAGCATAAGTTTGAAAAGGATAGAATGATCAAATGAAGAAATCTTGAAGGGTGAGGTGAATTTCAACAATGTATGCTGAGTCATGTCAAAGTGGAGAAGGAAGAGTTCCTGATTTCAATAATAAAGGAAGAAACTTTAAAAGCAGAGATAAAGAAAATTGCAGAAAAAGAGGATGTGGCGACAATTTCAATAAAAGAAGAAACAATGATTTCAAATCACATGGCTAATTAAGCGGAAAAGTTGAAAATAGTTATGGCTTCCTAGAGGAAGAGGAAAAGGTAACAAATACTAAAAAAAGAACTAGTTTTACTTTTGATTGTAATTGTAATTATTTTACTAAAAAAGAACGATAAATAGTTTATTTTTGTAGTTTGTTGATATGTTTGGAAGTTATATCTGAAAGGTTGAAATATTATTAATAGTTGAACTAGGGTGTCAAACATTGTTTTAAAACCCCACTCCGTCCCTCGGATAACCCGGGTCAACCTTGATCCCTCTCCTCTGAGAGTTGGGGTCACAAGTTGGACCCTATATGCATATCGACCTCTCCGATCCTCAAAACCCAGACGAGTTTCAGTGACTCCCGGGTCAGAGAGGTCAAAGAGAGTCACTGCATATTTTTTTTTTAAATTCCATGAAATAACACCATTTTATTGAAAAAATAAAATAAAAATACTTGCAAACTTAAATCCAATCGTTATCTTCTGTACCGGCGACCTAGACGTCTTCATTCTTCACCTCGCTGTCGTGAATCTTCTAGAAAATGTTAGAATTTTACCCATTCAAATGAAATCCTTATGGTCGTCGATGAAAAACAAAAACTAATTCTTACTCCCTCTAAATTTTCCTTTGTCAGAAACATTCTCAAAAGAGATAGAACCGGATCAACGTAGTGACCCCATTAGAATATGAGTTTTGTACTTTGGTATCTTGATACTTTAGTTAGGTTGTGTAATATTGTCTTGTGATTATAATTGGTGAATTATGTTAAGTATATTTTGAATCTTTGATAATTGGTGGTTTGTTTTTTAATATTTTCATATAGGATATATATATATTTATATTTTTTAATATATAAAATCGAGTCAACGTAATGACCCTGTGACCCCTGGTTGAACTCGTGACTCTGTGACCCTTAACTTCAGCCGAATCAATAACCAGGCCAGATTTTTAAACACTGCTGTCAAATTGAGTCCTCGGGACCCGTTTGGCTAGTATGTTGAGTAAAATGTTGTTGGCCGGCTTATTTGAGATTTTGAGCTGATAAATTGGGGGTATAATTAATGTGATTCTGAGTGGATTTCAGGCAATTCAAGCTAACTCATGGTCTATATTTTGCTTAATCATAAAATAAGTTTAAAAATATTAATTTTAAATAATTCATTTAATTATCTTACATTAAAAGTTTAATTAATTTAAATTACAAAATTTAAAATTAATTTTTACTTAAAATAAATGATTTTATTTTAAAATAACATTTAAGTAAAATAAAAGACTTAATAATTAAATATTTTCGAGTTTGATCCAAACCCAACCAACTCAAATCAAATTAAAATCGCTATTTACTTTAATCTTGATGACCAAGTCTATATATTTTATTTGATTATTCGGATAACTCGTAATATTAACACCTCCTATATATACTTGACTCTTATGACAAGCTAAAACTTTGGAAATCAAAACAATTAAATTTGCTTTAAGTTAAGTTCTTTTTATTATAGGTTCCACAACAAATTAATACGGTGAATTTTTGTGTATCTGATATTTAGATGAAATATGGTTGATTTTATATAACTTACACTAAAATGAACTTAAGGTTTGTTTATATTTTTTTAAACTCTATAATTATACTTGTCCCCGGAAGAGAGAAGACTTCAGATTCATACATTCAAAATTTAAAGCAATGACATTGATCAAATAAATAGTTGTTAAACATATCCATAATTTCAGCTATATAAACTAAGTTTAGGAGTAAAAGGATTGAGAGTCACAAATTTGTTTAGAGTAAAATTAGACGAGGGCATAGTTTTTAGCTTGTAATTTTTGGGTGTTTGAACGTTTGTCTCAAAAAACCAAAAAAAAAAAAAAGCACAACATAGTAGTTATTTTTTTTTTGTTATATTTATTTCATTCAACGGGAGATAAACTAAATTCCTACACACACATAACAAATGTGGATCTCACCTCTATTTTTTCTTTTTCCAATTATTCGTGGGTCCCTCTTATAATTTTGTTTCATTAATATAAGATAACTCATCTCTAACAACATAAGAAAAATATTTCCATTTTTTTTAGACATTTCACATAGTAGTTTCTCTCCCTTTTCATCTTTATTATCAATGGCCTGCCATTTATTATCCATATGTGAGACCATTTTAGTAAGTGAAAAGTTTATGAAGTTGATGTTTTTCATGTTTTAAAAGATAAAATTATCTCATATGCATATATAAAAGTGTGTGAGATCCTTGTGAGGTTATATGAAAAGAAGAGAGAAAAACAAAATGAGGCTCGTACGATTTTATGTGTGTATAGGAGATAAACTTATCTATTACAACGTGAGACACATTAAACCAAAATTTATTTCCCCAAAATTCCATCTATAACCCCAAATATTAGAGTAAGAAGTGTTCAACAGGCCAAGTGATCAGTTCCATAGGAGTAACATAAATTGCATAAATTTGCTGCCATTTGCTTTAATTTCTCTAACACATCAAACAAGTGAGTTACATATACACATTCAAATGGAAATTCCAATATTTCACAGTTTTAAATATGATCGTGAGACCTTTGAACAATGACATGACAACCATAAAAAACAAAAACAAAAAACTACACTGCATTAAGTTCCACCTATGCACAGATCTTATATTACATTTATATCAAAGACTGCCTTCTAATAATGATAAAAAAGAAAATGATAATAAAAGAAAGACAAAAGATTCTGTTGATTTACTTGGATAATATCATTTGGCAAAGCCATTGTCAACCTGTTTAACGGGTTCCTCTTCTGTTTTATTGTCCTCTTTCACTGCCAATAGAATCAGAACCAAGAGTAACGGATAGCGTACTGTAGTGAGAACCCAATTCACAATCAACTGTGTCATGGAGGAAACATTGTGGTTATCAATTTGCCAAAAAACTGCTGCCCCTACACTTTGTATGCCTTTATAGAACCCACTGTACCTATGCAAGTGCAAATAATAGTTGATTTCCAAATGGTTAATTAAATACAAGTAACAGTGACCATTTTGTTACGTCTGGCCAAAAAAATTACCAGACTGTCATGCTAATAGTAAATTTTCCCGGAATGTCACGTGGGATAATTCGCTATACTGTGTAGCGAAATATACTTGCAAATAATTCGCTACACAGTGTAGCGAATTATGCCACGTCAGAATGCACAGTTAGCAAAAATGACACGTGTCAAGCAGGTAGTAATTCGCTACCCTGTGTAGCATATTATGTTCGCGAATGATTTTTTGACACGTCTCACACTTTCACAGGAAAAAACTGATGTGCCATAATTCGCTATCACTGGTCTGCAATATGACACGTGTAGTGTAGCGAATCATGACACGTGACAGTCTGATAAAAAATACTGTTCGCGTGACATTTAGATAAAAAATTTGACAAAACGTGACATTTTGGTCACTTCTTAAATACAACGCCTTTTCATTGAGCAAATAGCTAAAACAATTTTAATTAAACAATAGAGAATAAGCTTTGCATTAATTACCTGCTAAGAATCTCAGAATCATTAGACAGTGCTCCAATAACCCAATAGACCATGCTCTGGAACATAGCATCTAGCAACCCAAAGCTAAAATACAACACAAAGGGCCCAGCAAAGCTAGAACCTGCGTCCTTAAAATCCAAAATCTTGGTGTGGTGTTTAACCTGATTAGCAATTGCACCACCCCATATGACAGACCCAAGAGTAGCTACCACACCAATTCCCAAGAGACCCCTATTCCTTCTGCTCTTAAAACTGAAATCCATTATGTATCCAATCCCAACTGATCCCACCATCTGTGCTCCCCAATAGAAAACATTGTTAAATCCTCTAGTTCTCAAACTGAACTCTGTCTTGTTGACATGATTGAATTGGTAGGTGTAGAAGAAATTGCTGGACAAAGCAGCAGGAATTATGAGAAGCATTTTCCAATTGTAGAACAACTTAAGAATCTCCACTGATTCAGTGGCAACATTAGAGTACAACATATTGGTACACCTAGTCCCATCATCACGAATAACCTTGCTTGCTGGCAAGATAGTCAATGAAAAAATAGCCCCAGCTGACATAAACACCATAAAACCTATGTAGGTTCCATCATTAACAGAAGCAGCATCATTACCACGATGGTAATTCGAAATGAAAGGAACTAAGCCACCAATCACACCACCCATGTTGAAGATGCTCCAAAAAATGGCAATGTAAGTCCCTTTGCGGTTCACTGGAGGATATGATGTCATAATAGCACCTTGTGCAGCCCATACTAGCCCTGCTCCAATCCCAAGAAAGGCACCAGAAACTATGGCAAAGGTTTGGTGTTGGTAATGGTTGTAATAAAGAAAGGGACCTGCATAGAGTGCATATGTGGAACAACCTGCGAAAAGTATGAGGTGGGGTCCGAGGATGTTGTAGATGCCACCACCAAGGATGCCAAAAATGGCAAAAGTGGTGTAAAGTGCAGTGAGGGAGTTGTTGGAGGCAGTGGCATTGACTTCGCCGCCGCCACCACCCATTCCAGAGAGGGCATTGAACAAACCAGGGCCACAAAAGCAGACCAACCCAATAAGGATAATCTGAACAAACGGTGAATTGTACCTGAAAAGGGAAGTACTTTTGGTATTTTCAGGTATTTGGGTACCTGATTCTTCATATTCAGTGGAACTCATTTCACACTTGACAAAAACTGAACATCTCTTTCTTTATGTTAAGACTTGAGAGTGGAAAGAGAGACGAATTGTGAGACAATTAAGGATTGAGGGCAATGAAATAATTTAAGGGCAACAGTGAAGCCGAAGTGCATCATGGACGCACTATTATACTAACGAATGCATGAAAAGAAGGTGTTTAGCAAGCCTTTTTATTGAAAGCTGATATTTTTTTTTTTGGAGTTACCCAACCCTAATTATCTCTCTTTGAGACGAGTTGGCTCCCTCCGGTATCCCCACGAGCTTCGACTCTTTGAGCCGGCTATGGGACTAATCCGGAGTGCGAGGGAACAATGATGGCTAAAGGTTCAGCCCCCTCCCCAAGAATGCATTCAGCGGGAATCGAACACATATCCAACCCCACTGACTCAGCGCCAAGTTACCAACTGAGCTGCACCATTGGGTATTGAAAGCTGATATAGTTAGTACTAATTGTTTTAAATTTTATTAAAAATAATCATCAGTCAATGAAATGCTTAATGAATATCACATTGAAGAAATAAAAAAAAAAAATGTAAACCGAAATATTATTCTTAAAATGTCATCTTAATATTTACTTAAAATAATATTTAAAAATAATACAATTGTTATCTTGAAAACATAATTTTTTTTAATTATTCATAATAATAATATATATATAGAGAGAGAGAGAGGGAATTGAATATTTTCCTCCTAACTAATCTTCCTATATACATCCTCCTCTTTATTTAAAATAGCAAGTATTAAATAAAATAAAATTAAAGCATTTGACGTCTGGAAACTAAAAAAGCATGTAATGTTTTCTTCCTTCAATAATTTAGTTACTCTAAAGTAAGTAATTTATTTTATGAGAAAAATAAAGAGTTATTATGAATGAGAAAATCATCACCTAATACTTTACTTATTAAGTATTAAAAAATTTCTTGAAAAAATTGCATTGCATATAGAAAAAAGCAATTGTCTTGATTCTAAAAACCTAGTAGTGGTTAATTTTACTATTGTGTTTGTTATCTTCGTTCACTAAATCCTCAAGTGACGAATTTCTTTGTTTCTATTTTTTTTACGCGGTCATAATTATTATAGGATTTTCATGCCTAATTGAGATGAATTTTTATAGGAGGTCAGGTATAGTCGCTAACTATATATGAACCACTCAGACTTCAAAAATTCTGACATGTCGTGTCCGATACTTTCCGACACTCCAACAAGCGTTGTAGAGACTCAAAAAAGGTTCAAAGATTACGTTGCGTTTTTAGTTCCAATTATTAGATTCGTTAGATTATTATTATCATTTTATTTAGTTTAATATAAATATTTGGGATATATAATGTTTCTTTGCAAAATTGATAGGTAGTATAAAGTTGGTACATGATATACTTACAACCAAAAAAGTTTACCACCTTTACAACTAACCTAATCACCGTTGATTTCCGTCAATCTAACGGTTATAATTTATTGGAAATTATAATTAATTAATAAATGCGACCCAATAATTTTCAAAAAATGATAACCGTTAGATTGATGGAAATCAATGGTGATTAAGTTGGTTGTAAATGTTGTAAACTTTTTTGGTGGTAAGTATATCCTTCCTCTTATAAGTTTAACTTCATTATTTTGTTAAATTATTGAGTATTAAATATAATATACATTACATAAATTAAAAATAATATTTAATATCAAAACATCTCCTAACGTGTCAAAATCTAACATTTTTTAGAATTAACGTGTCGAAATGTCGTGTCGTGTCGTGTTTCGTATCCCGTGTCGGTATCGTGCTAATAACCATTATATGTGTTTTTTTATTAAATATTACAAATAAATTTAAGTTGTGGCAGTGACAAAAAACCACCCTAAAAACTGAATCTTCGCTCTCAAAATAGGCTGTTCTAACAAAAATGAAATCAAAAGTTAAGCTTAAACGCGAAATAATGCTACTATACTGTTATGGATCTACATAAGGTTCGTATGCCTAAAAAGTCCAATAAAGGGCTTTCACATGATAACTATACAAGAGTACGAATGGGCTCATGAATTATAAGGTCCAAAACTCCAATATTTTCAGGTAAACTCTATAAATAGGAGGTAAAACTTACATGCATGACATAATTTATCTCTTACTGTTATGTTGTCACTGTGCATATACACCACCTCCTTTGGCTAACGCCGTTATCGTTGTGTACAATGATATGTTATCTCGAGCTATCTAATCTATAGATACCAGGAGAGAGTACCAGATCCTATACGTTTCTACACAACGTATTTACCCGTTTTTACTAATAACCATTTTTACTTGCATTTTAACACGATTTTACATAGCGTTTCTACCGTTTCTACATTTTTACATTAGTTTTTGAAAACAATGCATGTGGTGACCATAATAAATAGAATCATACAGTGTACAAAACACAATGACAATTGCGAGTTGTATGGAAGTGTAGAAAGTCAAGTGAGCATAAGTTTGAGAAAAGATAGAATAATCAAATGAAGAATCCTTAAAGAGTGAGGTGAATTTCAACAATGCGCTGGGTCAAGTTAAAGTGGAGAAGAAAAAGGCCGTGATTTCAATAACAAAGGAAGAAACTTTAAAAGCATGGATAACATTTTTTTAGAAAAAGAGGATGTGGCAACAATTTTAATAAAAGAAGAGTCAATGATTTCAAATACATGGCTAAGGAAAAGTTGAAAATAGTTATGGCTTCGTAGAGGAAGAGGAAAAGGTAACAAATACTAAAAAAAGAACTAATTTTGATTGTAATTGTAATTATATTACTAAAAAAGAACGATGTGTGCGTTTTATTTTTTTCAAAAAGAAAAAAGAGAGAGAGAGAGAGAGAGAGAGAGAGAGAGAGAGAGGCCTTCATACCTAACGTAAATGTTGGTCAGTCTACCAGATTTTGATGCATTCTAATATAAATGTTGGCTAAACTTTTTCCGTATGCCAAAGCATTGAGAAACTGCCTATCTTGAGCTGGTTATTCATATTCAATTACTTAAAAATTAACTGTTAAATTTGAACTTCGAAAAAACATTATTATTGTTTAAGAAATCTTTAATTGGACTGGAGACTTTAAATTGAACCCTTCTTTTTGTTTTAAAAAAAACAGAATTCATTTTTTTTTGCAGTTAATATAGATAAGTTATCTATATTAAGCTCAAAACGATGTCATTTTAGAAAAAAAATTAAAATATTTTTATAATTATAATTTATTTCAGGATTATAATAGTCTTTTTTATTATAATTTTTTAATTTTTCAACTCAAAACGACGTCGTTTTGATAATAAATGTAAATAACTTATCTACATTTACTGTCGAAACATAAAGTCTATGTTATCTATGTAACTTTTTTATTATTTTTTTGTAACCCTGGTGCATGTAGACAGTTTTACTTGAAGATTTGTAAAGATAGGAATTGTAGAAGCATCATTACCCGTAATAAACGGTCCAAGTTTTAGGTATATGCCTAATTTTGGACATCAACTCATGTATGATGTAGTCCAGTTGTTCTAGCCAACAAAGAAAACCTATAATTACCACATCCCCAGCCTTAAAAATATCTAGAATATAAGAAAACTAAAGGGGAGGCTAACTGTCATAACCAACTCCAACGGTCAACTGAAAATTTGGCCACAAAACATCCTCTGTGCCAGGTCAATTGCTCTTGCAATCCGAAAAATTCTCCTGAAATTCAGACACAAATGATGCCTATATAGTATATATATAAGTACTAACCTTTGTTCAATATTCACCGTCTCTGCCTCAGCATTCTCTTGTAAACAATTTTCATTTTCATTGTACGGTGAACACCACACTACCTCCTCGTTCAACATTTATATTCAATAATGGGAGGTTGTGTGAGCAGTCCTAAGGATCTTGCCTTGAACGAAGGGGAAGAAGCCCCGGTTGAGTCTTCAACCACACCAAAGGCTGAGGCCGAGACTGTTGCTCAGGTTTTTTTTTTAATTATTATTATTACATTTCATTTCATTGCATGACACATCTTAAATCCTATTTGATTGTTATTTTTTATTTTTTAATAATCGAGAAATATAATATAAAATTATCGAACGGTTATACTTATTATTGAAAAGTTTTACAACTATTACTACTAAACTAATCACTATTGATTTTCGTAAATCTAAATATTATAATTTATTGAAAATTAATAATTAATTAATAGATGTATCTAATAAATTATAACAGTTAGATTGACGGAAATGAATGATGATTAATTTACTGATAAGAGTTATAAAACTCATTCCTCCCTATAACCATTAATGTAACTTGGCTAGCTTTAAGCTTTTGGTTGAAAAAATCATTTACAATTTGATTGATGGATTTTGTGCAGGAGAAGGTCCAGGAAGGGGGTGAGAACGAGAGTGAGAAGAAAGAAGAGCCTTTGGTTGATCTGTCTGAGTCTAAAAAGGAGAATGTGGTAACCAAGGTAGAGGAGGCTGAGGTTGCTACTGAGGCCAAGGAACCAGAAAAGGAGAAAGCCAAGGCTGAGGAAAAGAAAGATGAACCTCTTGTTACCCTGTAAAAATATTCCGAGTGTCCCATTCTAATAATCCTGAGCCAAATTGAATTCATGATGTGCTAGGGAGTTGTAACATGGTGTCTAAATTCATATCATATTTGTTTCACTTCTTGGAGAATCATTCATGAATTAAATAATTTCTTTATTTATATCTTACCAAATATCTCTGAGCTTTCTTACTTTTTCTTTTTGTTGGCCTTACATAAATTAAGTGCTGCGATGGCTAAAAATATTAAATAATGAATTAATGAATAATTATTGAAAAAACTGTATTCAAACATTGTCTTACATCCACCACTTTAATGCACGAGTTTAGAAGTATTCAAGATTATTAATTTGAGGTAAGATATTCTTACTATCAATTTTTTCTATTACCACTTTAATCATCATTTGATTTAAAAGTTATTTTTCTTTTCTCTCTCTTCATTCAACTTTTTCTCTAATTCAATGATAATTAGAGTGGTAGTGAAGTAGTAGTAAAAAAAATTGGTAGTAAAAATATCCTAACTCTATTAATTTATGCTTTGACATGTTTAATTTGTTTATTTTTATAGTTTGTTGACATGTTTCCGAATTATATCATGGGAAAAAAAAGGTGTATCCTTTTAAATAATATAATTTGTGTTCTTTTAATAGGTTTATATTATGTCTTGTCGGTAAGATATGGTTATAATACGGGGGAAAAAAAATTTCTCTCTCCATCAACTGATGTGAAAAGTAAAAAAAAGTAATTTTTCATGTTATAATTTATATCTTATTGATAAAACATAATATAAAATTACTAAAAAAACTACAAATTATATCCTTTAAAAGTTGAAATATATTAATAGTTGACTTTATGGTCAAAATGAGTCCGCGGGACCCATTTGGCTAGTTTGCTCTAAGTTGAGGCAAATATTGTTGGCCGGCTTATAACCGGTTAAGTATAGTTTGAGCTGATTAATTGGTGACATATTGTGATTCTAAATGGATTTCAGACTATTTAAGCTAACACATGATCCATATTTTCTTTAATTATAAAATTACTTTAAAAATATTAATTTTAAATAATTCTTTTAATTAAGTAATATTAAATTTTAATTAATTTAAATTAAAAAATTTAAAATTAATTGTTACTTAAAATAAATGATTTTCTTTTAAAATAACATTTAAGTATAAAAAAGAGAGAAATTATACTTACAACCTATTTTTGTTTATAATTTCTTACCATCTTTTTTTTTTATATTTGGATCAAAATAAATTTAAAAAATTTCATTTAATGTCACTTTATAACTATTGATAAGATTTTGATATATAAAACTATTTATGCAGCAACGACAGAAATAATTTTGCCTAAAATTAATACAGTGAGTTTCGCATATCTTAAATTTAGACGAAATATGGTTGATTTTATATAACTTACACTAAAATGAACTTAAGGCTTGTTTATATTTTTTTAAACTCTATATTTATACTTGTCCCCGGAAGAGAGAAGACTTTAGATTCATACATCCGAAATTCAAAGCGATGACATTCATCAAATAAATAGTTTTTAAACATATCCATAATTTTAGCTATATAAACTAAAAAAGTTTTGACGAGGGCATATCAAAAGTAAAAGGCTTAAGGGTCACTTTTTTGTTTTTTGAGAGTATTATTAGACGAGGGCATAGTTTTGAGCTTGTAATTTTTGGGTGTTTGAACGGTTATCAAACAAAAAAAGAAAAGAAAAAAGAAACGCACAACATAGTAGTTAATTTTTTAGACATTTCACAGAGTAGTTTCTCTCCCTTTTCATCTTTCTTATCAATGGCCTGCCATCTAATATCCATTGTGTGAGAACACTTTCGTAGGTGAAAAGTTCATTTCCCAGAAAATCCATCTATAACCACAAATATAGAGCAAGAGGTGTTCAACACGCCAAGGGAGTTCCATAGGTAATATAAATTACATAAATTTGCTGCCCTTTACTTTTCTCTAACACATCACACAAGTGAGTTCCATATACACATTCAAATGGAAATTCCAATACTTCAAAGTTTTAAATATGATCGTGAGACCTTTGAACAATGACATGACAACCTTAAAAAATAAAAATAAAAACCTACAGCATAAAGTTCCACCTATGCACAGTTCTTATCTTACGTTTATATCAAAGACTGCCTTCTAATAATAATAAAAAAGAAAATGACAGTAAAAGACAAAAGATTCTGTTGATTTTTCTAGACAACTTGGATAATGTCATCCGGCAAAACCAGTGTCAACCTCTTTAACGGGTTCCTCTTCTGTCTTATTGTCGTCTTTCACAGCCAATAGGATCAGAACCAAGAGTAACGGATAGCTTACTGAAGTGAGAACCCAATTCACAATCAACTGTGTCATGGAGGAAACGTTGCGGTTATCAATTTGCCAAGCAACTGCTGCCCCTGCACTTTGTATGCCTTTGTAGAATCCACTGTACCTATTGCAAGTGCAAACAATAGTTGATTTCGAAATGGTTAATTAACTACAACCCCTTTTCATTGAGAAAAAAGCTAAAACAATTTTAATTAAACAATAGAGATTCAGCTTTGCATTAATTACCTGCTAAGAATCTCAGAATCATTAGCCAGTGCTCCAATAACCCAATAGACCATGCTCTGGAATATGGCATCCAGCAACCCAAAACTAAAATACAACACAAAGGGCCCAGCAAAGCTAGAACCTGAGTCCTTAAAATCCAAAATCTTGGTATGGTGTTTAATCTGATTAGCAAGTGCACCAACCCATATGACAGACCCAAGAGTAGCTACCACACCAATTCCCAAGAGACCCCTATTCCTTCTGCTCTTAAAACTGAAATCCATTATGTATCCAATCCCAACTGATCCCACCATCTGTGCTCCCCAATAGAAAACATTGTTAAATCCTCTAGTTCTCAAACTGAACTCTGTCCCGTTGACATGATTGAATTGGTAGGTGTAGAAGAAATTGCTGGACCAAGCAGCAGGAATTATGAGAAGCATTTTCCAATTGTAGAACAACTTAAGAATCTCCACTGATTCAGTGGCAACATTAGAGTACAACATATTGGTACACCTAGTCCCATCATCACGAATAACCTTACTTGCTGGCAAGATAGACATTGACAAAATAGCCCCAACTGACATAAACACCATAAAACCTATGTAGGTTCCATCATTAACAGAAGCAGCATTATTACCACGATGGTAATTCGAAATGAAAGGAATTAAGCCACCAATCACACCACCCATGTTGAAGATGCTCCAAAAAATGGAAATGTAAGTCCCTTTGCGGTTCACTGGAGGATATGATGTCATAATAGCACCTTGTGCAGCCCATACTAGCCCTGCTCCAATCCCGAGAATGGCACCAGAAACTATGGCAAAGGTTTGGTGTTGGTAATGGTTGTAATAAAGAAAGGAACCTGCATAGAGTACATATGTGGAACAACCTGCGAAAAGGGTGAGGTGGGGTCCGAGGATGTTGTAGATGCCACCACCAAGGATGCCAAAAATGGCAAAAGTGGTGTAAAGTGCAGTGAGGGAGTTGTTGGAGGCAGTAGCGTTGACTTGGCCACCGCCACCCATTCCAGAGAGGGCATTGAACATACCAGGGCAACAAAAGCAGACCAACCCAATAAGGATGATCTGAACAAACGGTGAATTGTACCTGAAAAGGGAAGTACTTTTGGTATTTTCAGGTATCTGGGTACCTGATTCTCCATATCCAGTGGAACTCATTTCCCACTTGACAAATACTGAACCTCTCTTTCTTTGTGTGAAGGCTAGAGGGTGGAAAGAGAGGTGAATTTTGAGACAATTGAGGATTGAGGGTAATGAAATAATTTAGGGGCAACAGTGAAGCCGAAGCATACTAAGATATAGAGACCTGCCGTCCATAATACGACAATTTTGAAGAAAACTTTGCACCTTGAAGTTACATTTTCTGCTTTTTGACTTCGATACACATCAAGTGTATGCACATGGCAGAATAATTAAGCATTCTAGAAGCTTACGCAAGCCTCTTTCTCAGTGAAAATGGCCTTTTTTTCTTCTTTCAAAAACTATTTCCTCATGTTGTTCTGTTGGTGTTTAAAGGAGGATTTTCTTCTGCACAGATGGCTATCACCAAAGATGCGTTTCCTTTGTTTAATTGATGTCTTATCCAGTTATTTGTTTTTATTTCTTTACTTTTTATTCTCCGTTAGCAAGAAAAGTCAATTATATCCTCGGGTTAGTGAGAAAACTTTATGTGCAACATATGTATGTACATCTATAAAAAAAAAATTGCACTTAAAAGAAATTATAAAAAAAAGAGAAAATATACTTCAGCAGTCACTTTAAATAAATTATCTTTATTTACTTTTAAAATGACGTTTTAAAGTTAAAAAATTATAATGATAAAGATTATAATAACAATGAAATAAATTAAAATTTAAAAAACACAATGATTTATGTCCCAAAATGATATCGTATTGAGCTCAATACAGATAATTTATCTACAGTAACTGAAAAAAAAAAAACCCTAAAAAAAACATGGATAAATATGAAAAAAAAAAATCCCTTTCTAATAAAAGAGAATACCAAGCTCTGTACTCCCGTCGCATAAAAAAAAACTCCCACTTTAGTCTTTACTTTCCCCCTCTATATTTCTTTAATAGATTCCTTCTTTTTTTGGGCCATAGATTGATGTCATTTAGTAAAGCATGCGAGAAGATTTTGATTAATTTTTTTAAAAAAATTATAAAACATTTTCAAAAAATCTAAATATTTGTTATTCTAAACACAAAATAAAGTAATTTCAAAAATTAATAAATCCGAGATGTTTTGTACAGTATTTGTTTTAGGATTTTCTTGATATTTTAAAACCTGTTATTCATATTTTAAATGATTTAAATAAATGAAAAAATATTTATCATTTTAAAGGATATAATTTTAAATCATTTTAGATGAAATAATATCATTTTAACGTATAATTAATATTTTTTATATTCTTTCTCCTCCATAAAATTAGGAAAAAAGAGAAAGTGGAGAAAAGAGAATGTAAAATATCATCTATTATACACTAAAATGACGTCGTTTCATATAAAATGACAGAAAGATATATCATTTAAAATAATAAATATTTTTCACATAAATAATTTATTAAGAATGAGACATATAATGATATACCTAAAGCAATGATAAAATGTTCTTGAGAATTTAGGTGTGTGTAAATATAGATAGAAAGAGATAACGATATACGCCATATACCATTTGTGGAAATCAATCAGAATTAGATAATATCAAAGTGTGAATTAATTTGACAAATTTTAGAGCGAATATGACTGTACACCTACATAACACTTCAATTATCATAAATGCATACATGATTTTATATGAATTTAGGTGATTCTGTTTAACTATATGTAGCTATCCATTATCCAATGAATCCATGTGAATCTGTTCTGGATTCTGACATCCAACCATAGGGTAGCGGTAAAGACCAATGTAGTAACAGAAGATAAGGATCTTTTTGTACATTTACTCACAAATCCAAACTAAGCAGAAACCCACGGAACCAACGCTGTCCTTTTCTGTGGTAGGTGTAGGACCACCGAAATTGATTTATTAACAGTAACATGAATCCATTGCTGTTGTCAACGTTCATGTTCCACGCCGGATTCAAAAGTCTTTAAGTTTTAACTCACTATGAACTCATAAAGAATTAGATTTAATCCTATAGTTGTATTTTCCCTTTGTCCTTTTTGTTTTGTCAGATAGTGTAAGGAGGGACAAAGCCGACTCTGGCCGGCAACAAATTTCCACTACTTGTAAATTAAAATCCTACAAAGAACCATGTATTCATCAATTTATAATCATCTTAACTCAAAGTAATCTGATTAGTGACAAGTGTTTTATACCCACAATTTCAACATAAGCACCATGGTTGTACCAACTATCAAAATTTAGTCAGCGTTTTTGTTTTGTGTATAGTTTGTGTCCTCGAAATTTTATCTTGCTTAGCCTGATTAATCATTAACATATCTTATAACCTATCCCACAAATTCAGAGCAAACGTCCTTTGCTCCAAGGATATCTGGATAACAGATGTGAACCCTTCTATTCCGTAATGGTATGTTCTAAATGGGTAGCTGGCTGGGAGAAGGTTATAGAAATACTATACTAGGTTATTCTTTTTGGTTCGGTTCACTTACAAGAGATCTTTTAATTAATAAATTAAATTATCAAACCTCAAAAAAACATTGCTTCTAGAAAACCTCACCCGTCTGTCCTTCAATATGTTTAAAATCATTACAAGTTGAAGGGGTCCAGGGAAATTCAGGCAGAAAATTATGATGTTCAATATTATTAATTACTTTCCCTTGAATTTGACGTGTTGGTTTAACATTATTACATGATACTACTAAAAAAGTTAACATCACAAAAATGACATTGCTGGATGAAAGTCAAATTCAGAAAAATTCGGGTGCTCAATCAATAAAATAATGTTTGAGATTTAGCATGGGTGGTTCAAACAAAGTTTAAATGGTAGCCCCATGCCCGAATAAAATAGAGAGACCCCAATTAAGAGCTCTGTTTTTTGTTTCAATAACTCAGAAATGGTTGGCTGGAAAGAATAAAAAGTAGCTTTGGGAATTATATTATACTGAACTTCAATGTGATAGTTTATCTCCTTCATGCATACGCTGACAAATAACCGTAAATATTAACGGAAAGCTGTTGCCAGGGTGGATTATAGATCTTAATGAAGTAGAAAGTACCAAATAATTTTTGACTCACCTAACATAGGGGAAATGGAAAGTTGAGGGGCATGACCATTTTACACCATGTATTTAAAGTATCCTTGAATGCAGCTACTAGTGACATTAATCTGCAAGAAGCACAACAAACTCTTGAAATAACATAAGCTAACTTGAATAAGGATGAGGACAAATAATTGAGGCAAATCTAGCTCTCAAGAAGAGCTAGGACACAAGGAGAGGCTATCAATATGATTTTGTAACAAGTTAGTACATCCGATTGATTACAAATTGTAAATAAAAAGTTAAAATTAAAAAAGGAATAAAAAAAAAGGGTAAGAAAAGAGAGAAAATAATAATAAGCAAAGAAAAAAAGGTGACTCGAACAACTTATTAGATACCTTATCGAATTAAATTGAAAATGACTGAAAGATGTATGTTAAATTGATGATTTAGAAACATGTAATAAACAGAGAAACAAAGAAACAAACTTCAATTGGTTTTGTGAGACTTTCATGTTTTAGTACAATTAATTTACGAAGACAATATATGTCTATTTAGATGCTTTAAACTGAAAAACCAAGGCATCCGTCACCATTGAGATCCGATCTGTCGCTTCTAGTAGTTTATAACTTTAGATCAGATGACCATATCTTATACATCCTTCAACAGCTGCCCCTGCCTCGTAAATTCAGAAGAAAACCTTGTAACTACAACAATGGCTTTATCATTATTATTCCCTGTATCCTAGCACTTGACACGTCACCATCCATATGAAGTGCCAATAAGGTTGCAAATTAAGTTCATAGTCAAACTAAAAGACCTTCATATATTAATTTACCTTTTTTGAAGAGTTCGGACCTAGGGTTAATATTCTTCTTGTCATCATTGTTGTTTTCATCATTCTAGTTTTGCTATCTCAAAGCTTAAAGCCAATATTTATCTCAGAAGAATTTGAATCGCCATTTCTATATCATCTAATATATTCCCAGGTGCAATCCTTTGGTAGTCTTAAGACAGTTTTCTACTTCTAAGAAAATTATTCTAATTTGTACTTCCAACTTCCACTTCTAAGAAAAATTTCGAATTTGTGATTCCAACTTCTACATCGATATGATTAATATGCAGGTGCTCTTGAACTTCAAGACTGTCAGCGATCGCTCCAGCCCACCCATATTCAGAGATGACGTCCAAGAAATAACTTGTAAAATACAGGACGAAGAAAGAAAGAAACATGGGAATGGAAAATATGTCGCTGATTGTTTGGGCACATTTTCTTGAAGGGCACATTGATGCTTGCATGGCAATGATACCTTTTTTGCATCGGGTATTCCCACATACATTAAGCATGGCTATATTACATTACCTTAAGGACTGACTGAACATTCAATAAAAACAAGAGGCAGACTAAACTGGGGAACAACATAGCTTGCTTATGTCTAAACCCAACTTGCTTATGTCTCCAAACACAACAAAAACAGCAGAAATCTCATGATTGCCACTGCTCATCTAGACGACAGAATTCATTTCTGTTTCTAATACAATCACATTATAAACTTTCCCAAATGAAGTGGAGAACTCAGACTAAAATACGTTTCTTAAACATCAAAGGGAATAAAGCATTAAAGCTTCAACACAATCTATCCTCAATATTAGAACCATTATAAAAGTCAACTTATTGGCTACAATGAGTTAGCTAGGTAGGATACGGTAAAAATTATCAAATCAAATCTTATGGAGGGTATTTAAGAAAGTTATCTTCTTCGTTGTAATAGTTACTTAAAAGTACCACAGAAGAAAATTCTGATAATTCATTTTAACATCAATAAAAATGTTTTTCCAACTGTGCTTAACCAAAACAGTGGCACATATTGAGAAGCATATTTTTATCTCTCTTTTTTTGGCTAGACAGAAAACAATCTTATTACGAAGAAAAGCAAACAAACCTGGAAGTTATCAAGACGAGAACTGGCACTAGATGATCAGGAACACTATAAAAAACTGCCCTTCCTAGCTGGAAGCAAGCTTAACATCAAAAGAACTTAAGTTCTTTTCTTGGTGTAGGAGGTGACCACCAATACAGGCTGAAGTAAGCTGAATAACTACCGTTCTCTGCTTCAAATGCTTGATGAACTTAGATAATGCACAAGAAGCTTTCCCCTTAATACCTTTACATTCTATGCCGAGAAAATTGGGATAGCCACTGACGGAACAATTAACCACTACATCTTGCTCTTCTGAGCGTTGAATGGGGAATACGAGGAAATAGTCCTCATTAGTCTCCCCAGAAGGGCTACTTGTTGACTGATGATGTATTAATCGGAAATACAAAGGACATCTTTTAAACTTTCATTTGGAAACCAACGACCCTTTCTTGCTCACGGTACTAAACCAAGAGGCCAACTTGACCACAATTAAACATGCTCTGACTACCCTTTCTCTCTCGAAAAGAGGAAATATTTTCATCAACTTTGTAGAGTTCATGGAATTAAGGAAACATGAATAATAGGATCATTTGGTCCAAAATGATTATCATTGAACAAGGACCACAATCAGTAACTATAGAAATTAACAAGGCCCGCAATCAGCACACTAAGACTATGAGACATAACATGAAATAAAGCCAAGCTAACTAATTCTTTATCATCTACATGCTGCTGCAAAGTCAAATGGAAATGTGAGATGCCTACTAGGCGAATGCTTAAGTCTCCAATGATCATATCAACCGAGGATTATGAACACTGATAAAATTCTTTTGCACTAATGTAACTATCTATATTCACATGAAACAAACGAATCAACTTCAACATCTCCTTTATCCCAAACTAGTTGAGGTTGGCGGTCGACGAACCCAAGTTAAAAACAAGAAAATATTGAGGAAAAAGGTTTCCTGGAAAAAGAAGCTAAATAAAATAAGAAAAAAAATTAATAAGAGAGAAAAAGTAAATTACAGAGAAAGATAAACAAATAAATATATATAGGAAAAAAGGACTGAAAAGACCATCTGAACATAGGAAAAAAAGAGTCTATCACTCTAGAGTGCTATAAGCTTTCCTCCACTCCATCTTAATATATACCATCCATCAATCTATTTCCCAATCCATGAACTCTTGTTTTACTACTTTCCCCAAGTAAGTTTCGTCCAATCTCTTCCATTCTTTGTGTCATACTTTTGGTAACAAACTTTTATTCTTATGAGAGCATCTAGGAGTCTTCAAATAATATACTTAAACTAGCTCAATCTATGTTCTCTCATCTTTTTAGCCATCGGAACTACTCATCTCTTTCGTCGAATATCTTCATTTCTTATCTTATCCATCCTTGTATAACCACACATTCATCTTAACATCCACCTTATCATGAGACAATCTAATAATAGAGGTTTTTTTTATCCAATCATGGATTATAGATTATTTTGTCAAATTAATTACAAATGTAGAAATGAGGGGGGGAAATTCAACTCGTCCTCTAAAAGTAATGCGAATCCCACATCTGATTGAACCATAAAAAACTCATAATGAAGGCTATTACATCTTCGGTGTGTAAATTGCTTGCACGTGGTTTTTTTTTTTTTTAATTTACATTTAGCTGTATAGCTAAGTATTACTTGCTCAATAAATCCACAAAAAAGCTACTGCTGCTGAATTTGACTGTTCTAGTCCTGATTTCAACTCATTTAGTCGCATTGTATATAGTTTTATTTTATGGAAAGCAACTACAAGGAATGGTAATGGTAGACTATTTAAATGGCAATTGGAAGGAGTCTACTTCTTCGCTGTTGAATATTTTGATAATTTCATATCTTCTGCTCACATTATTCACACTTGAAGTAAAAGGATCAACTCATCAACACGTTATTATTGAAGTTAAACTCAGAAGTTTTGAACCTAATTTCCACATTTTTTTTTTTAAATGTGCATCATCTTGGAGAGATGATACTACATCTTGGTGTATCCTCTTGGAGAGACTAAAGATGTCTGACTATGTTCTGCTATATTATAGTTAAAGAAACTGTATATTTCTCACTTGTATTACAAAGAATGAAGGTTACAACATATACACCCAGCCTATGTGTTAAAAAAGAGGAAGGTGAGGGATTTTCTCCACTAATTGTTCTAATCAAATCAACCTAAACAAGGTAATATAGAACATAATAAAAAGCAATAAAAGGTTTCTAAAAAAAACAGTGATTCCTACAATAATTACAAGATTTTCCACAATATTAATATCAATCATCAAGTAATTTATAGTAAAATGATAATATATTATTAACAATTGGATTCTAGGATCATAACCACAGACCTTGGGGATTAGGGGGTGGACACAAATAATTTACATGTCAATAAATGAATGTCTTTAGAAAAAATATCCAAGGTCTGTAATTTTTGTGTGTATCTGTGGCTATAATATAAGTATATAACCGAACCCTGCATTACTTAAAATGAAGATGGGAAGCTCTCTAAGGCTTACAAAAATGAGTAGTGATTTGCTGGGGGGAATAATCCAATGCTTTAGAAAAATTTATAATATCCCTCTCTTCTTCCTATCTTGAGGTAGGGTAATGCCTAACAAATGATACATTTGAATATAACAGAGATGTGTTTATTTCGATTATCAGCTAGGATCTCAGAAAAACAAAACCAGGGAAAGAAAATTGCTCAAACTTATCAAAACGATTGAAGCAATTCATGAAGTGATGCTCGGATCTGATTTCTACTTACCTGAAGGAGGCTGAGAGATGCAGAAAAGTTTCAACCGTTAACAATTTTTGGCTTTCATTTCCTTCAAGCATAACACCAACTGAGTTAGCATAAAAGCTTATTAATAAATCCATAGAAAAATTATTAAACCAGATTCTTTCTGTTAATATAAACGTAGAAAATTGAAGTTAAATAGTAAAATTGTAGGAGGAGAAAATGAAATTCTATAACGTGCTGTTCTGTAAACCTTGTCGATTGGAAATTCAGACTTCAGATTACCAACGACAGAGGCAACTTGAAACTCTGCAAACCCTAGCAGTTGGTGGCAGAGAAGGTCCGATGGGTCGAATTCGGGTCATGGGCTCAGCCCATCAAGTCATGCAAAAAGAAGTCCGAAAGACCCGAGGAGCACGTTATGCTTACACGTGGCAAGATTCAATAGGAGGACGAAGTCTCCGCGGCTCTCTCTCCTCTTAATTTGGCAAATATCGGTTTTAAGTTCATAGATTTTTTATATCCGTGTCAAATTTAAAGTTTGATATATTAGACAATTGTTAGATTCAAAAATATTAATGATATCACATGTTTATAAATTAGAGTCGTTGATCTTTTTTAATCTAATAATTCTTAGATAAGGTGTCAAACTTTAAATTTATCATCAATTTCGAAAGATTCACCACTTTGGGAGATTTAAATATTTTCGCTATTGACTTGTTACATATTCTGAATTCCATAAATAATTTAAAGAGTTAAGTTTATGGAACATTAAAGGAATTAATTCGTTCAAAAAAAAAAAATTAGAGCCGGGTTAAAAAAAATTAAAAACGTGAAAAGTACGACGGAGAGAACCGTTTGGTACACGTACACACGTGACAAACAATCGATAAAATTAAAACTTATTCATATTTTAATTTTTTTTGATTAAAAATAAAAAAAGGTGATGTGTTAAGAGAGAGCGTTGGATCCGCTAGTTTAACCAAAATTGTAGGTAAGGTAAGGTGTGGCGAAATTACATTTGATGTGCATTTGGGTTGCATTTTGATTTGCGTGTGTTTTGTCCTACGTGGGACGTCAACCCCACAAGTGGTGTGTCTAGTTTCTATAAATACCCCACTCATTCCGCTTCTCTACTCGTTTCATTTAACGATGTTAGATTAGGTTCAGATAGATAGAGAGAGTGAGTGAGTCTCTTATAGAGAGAGAGAGAGAGAGAGAGAGAGAGAGAGAGAGCTCTTTTTGTTTTTGGTTATCTTTTGGAGGTTTATCTCTTTCTTTTTGTAGGTACTGAGGAAGAGGAAGATTCTGTGTGTGGGCTTCACTTAGCCGAAGAGCGTGTGAGTTAATTTCCCTTCATTTTCTATTGTGGGGTGGGTTGGTGTAGTGGTGGTTCTATATTTACCTTCTCTTTCCTGCGCGTCATTATTATTATTATTATTATTATTATTATTATGGTGTAAATGTAACAATTAAGCGTGTAGCATGTATGTGTTTAATGTAAGATTTTCTGAGACATAGAATATCAGTTTTGTCGTTCAATTGTTGACGGAGCGCGTGTTATAATTGTCTGTGTTATCTGTTGTTTAGGAAATCCCACTTAGCCTTGGTTTAGATCTGTCGCATGTGGGTGTTTGTTTCTGCTTAGGATAAAAGCTTTTTGTCTTTTTTGCAGTTTGTCAAGGGTAGATGGGGGTGGTTACATCTAATTTTGTTCACGCTGTACGAATTAGATTCTAGATTTGCGGTTTATGATATCCCATTTGCTCATTTCCTTTAACAAATCTCTTCAACTTTTTTTTATCTGTGAATGGTGAGCTAAGATATTATTGAGAGACCCTTTAGAAGAAAGGTTTAAGTGACATTAGAAAACCAGTTAAGGGTTATAGAAAAGTATCAGTTCTTATATATCTTTCCAGCTAGTAGGTAAATTTCTGTGGAGTTTGACTGAAATCTGTGTTGTTGTGGTGGGCCCTGCAGACAATTCAGGCAAGGTCTTGAAGTCGGAGTGTATAAGATTACTTAGGAGTTGCTGTTTCGACTGAAGAAATGGAGGTATATGGCAAATCTATGGTTGCAGGTCCTGCAAATGTTATTTATCTGTCAAGTATATTGGGCCAAGAGGGTCCAATTACTGTTCACAAATGCGACTGGAAATGTGAAAATGAACATGTTTGTGGAAACATGTATCGCTGCAAGCTAACAGGGCTCACTCACATCTGTGATAAAAACTGTAACCAGAGAATTCTGTATGACAACCATAGCTCCCTTTGTCGAGCTAGTGGTCAAATTTTCCCTCTTACGCCAGCAGAGGAGCAAGCGGTGAGAGGTGTTCGAAGAAAGCTTGATGCAGAGAATTCTCCTTCTGATAGCTGTGGTTTTAAGCGTAGACGGGATGCCAAATTACATCCTTCTCCTTTTGAGAAATCTTTCTCTGCTGTCAGTCCTATCTGCAGCCAAGTTGGAGATGGCATGGATATGAGCTAGATATATGTTATATAACTGAAAAGACTTATCATTTCTCTTGTCCTTTTGATTTTATTTCTTTTCCCTTTTTCTATCAGATGAGTATGAATAACAGAACTTGAACGATTATGGATTACTTAGTGGTGGACAAGCTGTATGTCCATCTATTGTAGGGGAACTCCTTATATTTCTAGTATTAATGGAATGTAGTGCTTAAAGTAACTTGACTGTTGAATGGGGATTTGAGCAGGCTCTATTTAGTATTCAGATGTATATGAAATCTGAATTGACTTCAGTTTCTTGCTAACCCTAATGAGAAGCAGACTATTGTAGCTGGCTGCAGGATGCATTCCTTCAACTATTATGATGCTTGAATTTGATTTAGGACCTGAATGGTGTACTATGTATCAACATTGTACTTAACTATAAACCTTCTGTAGCTGGCTGTTAAGTTTCTCGTGTATCTGTAATCACAGGACAGTGCTATTCCAGTATTAGTGTACTCGATACTAATACTAGTACTATTGAGTTGTATTATTTTACTTCTTTTGTTTCTCTTAATTCCATTAGAACAGCACTCAATTATCAAACTTGTCCCTTGGGCAAATTTTCAGTTTTGCTCAGGGTTTTGTAGGTTTCCTTGACCTTACGTAGGCTCAGGTTCTCTCCAGTTCCTCATATGAACAGATTTGTTGTATATCTGAAAACTAATTTTAGTTTTGCTGCCTAACTCTTCCTAGTTCTGTTGCAGACTCAACGAAGATGATATATTTCACATTTTCTTCAATCTCATTTTTCTATTATCGTTTCTTTCCATTATTTGATTGATGGCTGCTTGTCTGAGTTTGATGTCGCTTGTGCAGGTTTTGCAGCATGTGCTACCAAGGAGCATTCAAAACATTTTTGTTGCAATACTGAATAAAATATTATAATATAGAATTGCTTTGTGCTAGAAGATGAAATATTGATACATGTCTTCTTCTTTTTTATATGTAGGTACAAGCATTGCTACATATGGTCAAGTTTGCCGCTGCTGAAGTTTGGATAAGACAACAGTTATGGAGCTGTATGGAGTCATGAAAATGAGCAGGGGATCCGGAGAGGATGTGTAAGAACTAAGAAGAGTTGAGGAAAGGACAGCTCTGATAAAGTTTGGGTGGATGATCCAGACACAATATAGAAAGCTGAAAAAGTATGCACACTCATTCCAATTTAGTTTGAAATATAAGACCTCGTTGAGTTTGTCCTTCACTATACTATCTCTTGCCTGTGAAGAGTGTGGCATTGATTGAATAAATAAAAGGGACCTGGCCAGGGATACTTACAATTATCATCGGGGTCTATTTGTCAAACCTGCATGCATTTCCTCTATATATTGGAGGATTGAAAGTGTTTTATCATTTATTTGAATTTGTGAATGTAAATTTGTATCCCAATGTTTTGATGCCAGAGTTTTGTAAGCATATCTATTTTTTTTCTTCTTTTTTCATTTTTGTAACGCCTTGTAGTTCATCAATGAAATTCAGAACGGTTATGTTTCATATAGCTTTGCGAAGCTTAGTGCTTCTTGTTAAATTCTCCCTTTTAACATCACTTTTATTACACAAATTTTTATATTTTGAAAATCCACACAGACCTCTCCTTATAAGGTACATTTGCGAAAAAATAAAGTAGAGAATCAATAGGGCAAACACCCACAGAACAAAATTTGATACTTTTATTTTCTTGATTTTCTCTCAAATAGTTGACATGCTGTGCTGCGTTTCCTCTGAAGTGAACTTTTCACTTTGAGCTTCAATAGAGGAGCTACATTCAAAATTTCCGAGGCAAGGTTTTACCGTTTTGTAGATTAACCTGTGTTATGGCATTCGTTGTAAATGGCTATCCAAGCTCTCATGAGTCCTTGTGCTCCAATTGCTTACCAAATTCATGAGTTATTGAAGAGGCCTTGGTAGTGGCAGATGAAGATAAATAATGTTTATTGTGAAAGCAACATGGTATCTAATTGGTTAGCAAACAGCAAATCATTCCCATTCTCCTTTATATGGGGATTGCATGAGTTGTCCTTTTCTCAGCAAGCTTTGGTGTTATTGCTCCTATCCTGAATTATTTGTTGTGTCTTCTTAGGGTAGGGGGCTTTGCCCTTCCCAGTGCGTGTTAGAATGAGTTGCAGTACTTAGAAATCTCTGTACTTTCTCCTAAATATCGGAAATAGCCAATGTTACTTCTAACATATTAATATGCAATTAACAAATTTTTTTAATATATTTTTTAAATGACAAAAATTAAGTTACAAATTTTTTAAAAAACAGTACACTTGGTGAGTTAAGTGATAAACAAGCTTGTGTTAAGCAGATGATGAACTTCTATAATATTAAAGGTTTGAGGCTTTGAGCCTGTAAAAAAGTACTTGTAGGGAAGATAAACTAATCTTAAGCGCTAATAATGTGAAAAACTTTGTAAGAGCCACACAAAAAAATTGAGAAAAGAAAAAGCAATACTTTTTCGTATTTTTGATAATATATTACCTATTGTTGTGTTAAAATTTAATACCAACTTCTTACTCTTCTCCAAAAGTTTGGGACTTTAATAATATATGAAGGTTATGTTTATAATTTTTTTATTTACAAACTCTTACAACTCTTACAATCTCAATTATGTATTTTGAAAAGTACATATATGAGTGAATGTATTTCTCCAAATACATAGTTGAATTTGTAAATAAAAAGTTATAAATATAACATTCCCCTTAATAATAAGGGTTATCTTGTACCAAATAATAATAATAATAATCAGGATAACTAATAACAATAACGGGAGTCTTCGCCAAGGATAACTAACATACCTTGAGATTGTGGTCAATTTTACTGTTGAAAAGTTCTGATTTTGCCTCCCTCAAACGTCATATAGGTCGAGAGGGGTATGTACCGCCAGGGGAACCATGCACAAGTTTCTCTCTAACGTAATACCTAGTCTAATTTTTTCTATTTAGGAAGAATCCTAGGTCATTTTTTTATGATAGTTCCTGACAATGATTTCTCCGATCAGGAGGTCATATAGATTTCTAGATTTGTACAATATTCATAGAAGAGCAAAAGCAAAGAATTGTTTCTAAACGAGGTCATCCACAATAAAAGAAATACTAAACCCATAAAGCTGGTTTTGCGGCTCATAATTTCATCGAAGCAACGTAACAATTTGTTAGGCTTGCAATGCATAATTGATTGCACACTACTACCTCCCTCCTTCAGAATGCTTATAAATTACAAATCTGGGGGTCATTGGCCCTTCCCTTGGCCTTCAACCCATAAGATTCAACCTACACTACCAACTATAATAATCTTTGAATATGCCAACCAAGGCATTTTGGAAGCTCCCCATTTTCCTTATTCTCTTTACATTCTTCTCTTGCTCTTTCTCTTACACATTCACCATAACCAACAACTGCCCTCAAACTATATGGCCTGGTACACTCTCAGGTTCAGGGAGCCCTCCACTTTCAACAACCGGATTTCGGTTGGACTCTGGCCAAAGTGTCAAACTTACGACTGTTCCGGGATGGTCAGGACGGATATGGGCAAGGACTGGTTGCAAATTTGATGCAACAGGAGTTGGCAAGTGCCAAACAGGTGACTGTGGGGGAAGGCTGGAATGTGATGGAAGTGGTGCTGCTCCTCCCACCTCATTGTTTGAGATAACACTTGGTGCAGACAATGGACTAGACTTCTACGATGTAAGCATGGTAGATGGCTACAATTTGCCATTACTTGCACTACCACGAGATGTATATGGTGGTGCATGTAATGCCACAGGTTGTATGACTGATATCAACAGAGGTAAGTGTTCATTTGAAGTTCAAAAAATAGACTACATCATAAGTAATTAGGTATTTAATTGACTTGAAGAATGAGTAAAGTACCTTATACAATGGAATAGGTTGCCCTAAAGAACTTCAAGTAGTAGGAGGTGATGGATTCCAAGGCGTAATCGGGTGTAGGAGTGCTTGCGAGGCATTCAAGCTGGACAAGTACTGCTGCAGTGGAGAATTTGCCAACCCAACGACATGCCAACCTTCCTATTATTCGACCATTTTCAAGAGGGCTTGTCCAAGAGCTTATAGCTATGCATTTGATGATGGCACCAGCACTTTCACTTGCAAAGCTTATGGATATGACATTGTTTTTTGTCCCAACAACAGTAGGTACACAACTATACATCATCTCCCACAATATTGATTAGTTTCCCTTCTCTTTCAATTTATTGCTACATGCTTTCAAGAAAAACCTAACACGCTACTAACATTTTACATTACAACACAGGATGAAAAAACCAAATCGTGCATCTCCTCCTCCACCAGTTAGAAAGCCCCATCGGAAGCATCAGCAGTCCTCATCAAATATTCTCTTACCCTTTCCAGTGCCAATCTTTCTCTTGGTTCCCGTCTTACTTTATTGGCATTTGTAAGACACGGCCAGTGATATAAACCAATATCTGAAGAGAGTTATCCAAGTGCTTTTGAAAGAAGGGAACAAAAAAAAAAAAAAAAGACCCACTCAATTAAAAGGAAATAATTAACGGCGAAATTATTACACTTGACGAACCCTCTCGAAACAAATGATTCATAAAATACTCTTCCAAAGCTCAATTAAGTTAGGAGCTGATTAAGAGCCAAAGGATGTTAGCTAAACCGCACCCAGTCATAATTTCTGTCTACCCACTATCCTCTCGAGATGAACTGTAAATCTTGCAAAATGATTGTTTGGAAGGAAACAACTGCTCATGTGCAATTGTGCATTCTAACCAGGAATATGAATCCTCAAATTCATTATCTCAAATATTGTGTACATGTTCCGCGGAAATTTAATGAACAAAGCAAACCTTCCAGATAATAATAACCGGCTAATGCAGGTTAATTCAAAGAAAAGACAACAAACAATATTCACTGGAAATTGAAACGGGCCTGAAAATGAGGAACATAATAAAAAGGAATTGATAAGAACTCATTCAGCGAATCATAAGCTTTCAATTATTCAGCGCAGGGTATAATTAAGAGATCTAACAGAAGCTGACTACTACCACCATTCTGTCATATGGGCAAAGTAATTCAGCATCTTTACTTTTAATCCAAGGATGAAAGTATATGGGTTCATTGCATATAAAAGAAATTATAGAGTGCCTCTTTGATTCATTTCTTGGTCTTTGCCTTCTTGGAACCTAGAGTTTTTTTCTTTACTATCTTTGGTTGTGATTTTCCTCCTGTAGTTCTACCTCTTTTCTTTTCAGCACCCTGCATCCAGATTTTCAGCAGCTAAAAATGTATGCACCAGGATTTTCATTTATTAAGAACAAATCTAAAACCAAAATCAACTGTCCAGCGGAAACTTACTGATGTTTTGTTAGCCTTCCCTTTGGATTTACCATGAGTTTGTTCCTCAGCATGCTCATTTTGATCAGTTTGGTGGGCGTCTTTCTGCATCTTGCCAGTTTCCTCATCCGAATCAAAGGAGAAACCATCCAATGTCCCTTCTCATATGAAAAGAATAGATGTGAGGAAATGAATCAATGAATAATATAAAGGCAAAACTACCAGAAATTTAAGCCCCAATTAATTGTGGGTAGATGCAAATAACCTTCAACCATAGTTTCAGCTTCATACACATTAGACTGTGGCTTCAGCTGTATGAAGTCATTCATGATGGCCTCTACCTGATGAAGAAATTACAAATTAAAAACAAAGGCAGCACATGTTTTTCATAATCTTCGTCAAGGCTGATTAAATCAGTATGATTATGTAGGTTAAAATAGAAATAAATTTTTTTTTGAAGAAGAAGACTACGGACACATTTACTAACTAAATAAAGTAGTAATTACATATAAACAATTTTCATAAAGAGAATAAGTGAGGAAACATATAGATACTAGATAAACAACAGACCTTTGCCTCTGACTGCCCGAAGCTAACCTGAAAATATAACAAGCTCATATGAAAGCAATATTTGAAAGGTTCATATCTTGATCATAAAAGTAACAACCTACAAGGCCATTATCCTAATAAAAGAGGTCGTGATGTTAAATGCAGATTACATCCCAGATTGATTACATACAATGCAAAAAGTCCAGCAAGGAACTATAGATGTTTTGTATATTGTTCCTGAAAAGATGAGCAAAATTTGAACAATCAGATAAAGGTTGCCACCATCAAATGAAAGTATTGTATCAATAACTCAAAAAATGGAAAATAGACTATAATGGACAGATTACAACAGCATATAACTTGGAGAAGAAAGTCAAAATATCAAAAAAAAAATAATAAAAGCTAAGATATTATGATTATGCATTATACAAAGTCAGAATACAAGGTCAGCTGTTTATTGGAAACTCAACGTGTAACATTCAGAAGAGCACTTAAAATACCTAAGCTGTATTCTGGTTCTGCAATATCCTTGCTAAAGTGTTATGATCAAGATATATGTGCTTGTGCCTTTATAAATTTTACAGAACAACAGACTCATTATCTGTTTGTTAATCAGAAAACACGTGCAATAAAATACCTTTCAAGTCTAAGTACATTTCCTGATCCCCAGATGGGGAATCTGAAATTATAATCCGGCCTACAGCACCCATATCGCCACTCAGATCGATGGAGTCACCTTGACACTCGATGAGCGCCTGCAAAAACAGAGAAACTCTTTGTTAAGTACCCATTTTCTTTCTCATGAATAAGAAAGAGGAAAACTAATACCAATACTTAAGATACAACACATGCGACTTTTACATGAAAGCTACAATATGTCACATGACTACAAACTCAAAACAAAGGGTTTAAAGTTTCTCATGCTATAGGAGATAAAATTATCTACTACGCATATATAAAAATGTGTGGGACCTAATTTTTCGTTTTCTCTCTTCTCCTCACATGGGCACATGTGGGCCCCATACACTTTTAACCCCATACGTGCGTGTAAGAGACAATTTTCTCTCCTACAACATGAAAAACTTTTAACCCTAAAACAAAACTAGAAATAAAAGCCGCAACTTTTCTTTTCACAAAATTTTATTTGTTTTCGAAACTGAAACCTCTGCTACTTATTTGGTCGTCCACATAATAGCAATCATGGCCTTTACAATTGTAAAACTGTACATATAGCAAAGGGAAATACATAACATATAGTTGTCACCTAACCTTTGAACGATGAACTTTTTCAGAAAGCATCAAAGGCAACCTCGAGGAGGAAACCTGCAAATTACAAATAGCAAGCACAACTCAGGACGCCAGACTAGATAGACAATCACTGTGGCCTTTTTCTAGTTATTACTTATTCCTGTTCCGAAGTAATGGGAATGCTGTGAAACAATTTTAGGTAATCATTACAATCTCGACCATTCTTACATTTGGTTGAACAAGCTTTTCAGTAGTTTCTTCCTCTCCAACATCCACGTCTCCACCACTAACTGTCCCATTTCCAGATAAACATGCACAAAATGGTAAGGAAATCCTTATTTAAAATCCACATGCATGAAGATAGAGTAAAATTTGCATCTTTTCTTTAATGTTCAAAATTAACCATTTCATACCTTTCCCCATTGCACTACCCTTTATTTTCTTCCCTTTTTCTGGCGTATAACCATCTACATCTATTTGTTTTTGCAAAGACTTTCCTTTTGAAACTTTTTTGGATGGAGACTTTTCATCATTGCCAAGGACAAGTTCATCCCCATTTTCTCCTTCACCAAGGAATTGAGATATGTGGTGTGGAGAAGTTTCCACCCGATCAATATGATCTTCGCCTTTTGGGCTATGATCATGGCATGATTCAGAATCTGATGATAGGGTCCAAATTGAATGAATAGATTCCTATGCAAAAACATCAAGCAAAAAAGGTAAACTGGATGAGAAATCTTGAATCATGATGAATCAGAATCTGAGTGTAGATGCTCTTGATGTTCAAGGACAGAGTCACCAGTCATTATACAGAAAATATGGTAAAGCACAGAAATATGATGCTTTTTTATTTCTTTATTTATGAACATCACTAACAAGTAAAGTTGAAATGACAAGGCTCTTACTTTATGCTCTATATGCTTTTCTTTCTTTTCCTCCTTGTTTCCTGGATCATAATAAGAAAGGACAAAATGAAAACTCAATGAAAAAATCAGACAGCAAAATGATTTTCACATCCTATCACCCGTGTCAATTTTTTTAAAATCTTAAACTAAACGTAAATTAATTATGTGTGTGTGTGTCTATATATGTATTACTCATCTGCTTGACCACAAAACCTATATCCATTCCATGTAGTCATCTTGAGAAAACTCTGAACACAAATCAAATTCTCAAGTGTACCTTCTTTTGCCTTTTGCTTGTCTAATTCATTTCTTCTGGAAGGTGTTTGATTTTCTATTTTAAGACTTGCAGCTTCTAATGTCTTTCTAGTTGAAGACTTGGCAGAAGCTGTGCTCTTGTTCTTGGTGACCTTTGAAAGTCTAGGTGACTTTGGAGATGATCCTTCATCATCATTTTTATCTTCGTTTGAAGAGCTACCATCATGTAAAGACCCAGAATCAGAGGATAGCATCAATGGCGAATGAGTTGGAACCTAGTCAACAATATAAAATGTGTCAATTAGCAGGAAAATATATAAGGATCGGCAATGAAAGCATGGTGTGAGTGCAGCACCATCAATTCCTTGTGATGGCAAAGGTATCATGTCAGGGTTGCACTTATGATCAATCGACATGGAAAATGAGCAATTATAAAAGTATATGGAGAAAAAAAAGACATGAAAATGGGTTATTAAAAAGGGCAAGCTTGTAAGAAAATCGAATATTGTGATTCAGAAAAAAAGCATATAATCATCCTGATACCTGAAAAGAACGCAACCAATCCGGGGAGCTGTCCCTTGAATCGCTCATTTTCAGTAACGAATGCTTAATAAAAACCACAGCATACACCGGCCCGTGAAGCAAATGGTCGAACACGTTGTAAGCACAATCTCAATAATAATGTAAAGATCGTAAATCAACAAATTAACTTCTCAAATCTAATGTCTCAGTGAGACGGAATCAGCTACTTTAACATTATATCTGAAATATGGAATCGATTGCTATGCATCTTCACGAGTGAGGGAATGAAAGGGAAAGTACTGCCCACCGTGAGCGGGAAATTTCTTTTGGGCTTGCGAAACGGAACATCCACACTCGGAGCTCGGAATTGTTATGCACCATCCTCCAACTCCAAACGACACGTCGTTTCGTGCGAAACAAATAATTTTCTTTCCTTTTCTTAATCATTCTTAAATCTTAATAACTTCATAAAATGTTTATGTTATTAAACATTGGGGGAACACTAATATCATTTTACATAAGAGTAGTTCTTTCATGTTATAAAAATAAATTTGGTGGGACCCATTATTAAAGAATTAAAAAAAAGAGTGAATGAGATTTTTAAAGTGAGAAAACATGATATTATTATGAGAGTAGTATTTCCCTTAAATATAATATTCTTTAAGAATTTGATGTTATAGAATAATTTACTTAATAATTTAAGTTATATATATGGATTTTATAATTCTCATGTTACATTCGAATAGAATTTTTATGCCAAAAGACAAAAAGTTAAGTGGAATTTATATTTTAGAAAAAATCATGTGCGGGGGATCCATGTCAGCACAAAAATTGGATGATGTATCGAAAAAAATTTCTTGCCATGTGACATGAGAATTTAAAATATATATATATATATATATATATATATATATATATATATATATATAGGGTAAACAACTTCTCATTTTAAAAGAGAAGTTTTTTTGTGCACACTCACATCTCACAAGCATTGAAATGTGTGATATATTTTTTGTTGTATTTTTTTCAAAACAATTAAGGGATCCCACCAAAAAATTCACTCAGCTGTAAAAAAATAACTTCCACTGTGAAAGAACCTATGTAGCACCGATACTGACATGGAACATGTGACACGATACGACACGACACTCTGACACGTTAATTCTAAAAAATATGAAATTTTGACACGTTAGGACACGTTTTGATATTAAATAATATTTTTAATTTATGTAGTATATATTATATTTAATATTCAATAATTTAACCAAAAAATGTATCTAAACTTATAATATTCATAAATTTTGCAAAGAAATATAAGATATCTCAAATATTTATATTAAACTCAATAAAATGGTAATCGTAATCCAACGAATCTAATAGTTGGAACTAAAAACTCAACGCAACTTAACCTTTGAACCGTTTTTTGAATTTCTATAACGCGTGTTGGAGTGTCGGGTAGTGTCGGAGTGTCCGAGAGTATCGAAAAGTGTCGGACACGACACGTTAGGGTTTTTGAAGTGTCGGTGCTTCATAGGAAAGTACAATCTTTTAAATGACATATATTATATATATATATATAGGGGTTTACTAATCTCATGTTACATGAGATAGTACTCTCGTGTGGGTGACACAAATATGTGGGGTCCACAATCTAAAAAGAAAAAGAAAAAAAACAATTGACACGAAATTCTATGAGTGTATGACATAAGATAACTTTCTTATGCAACATAAGAATATTATTCTCATATATATATATATATATATATATATATATATATATATATATATATATGAAATAATAATTCTCCTGTAGTGGGAGATCATCCTTTCTCCCCCAGAGCCTTCGAATAACGTGATTTCAATTAATTTTGTTTTTGTTTTATTTTCTAAATTGCATATCCACCCCCTTGTGTCTGTGACAGTAAAAATAAATTTTGTTATCATAGAAAAACCGATAATTCCATATATATATATATATATACACACGTGTCAAATTAAAAAATTTGACACTAAATTTTAACTATTAATTTTTATAAATTTAATTTATTAAATTATTTTATTAATTACTTATTAATTAGCAATCAATTATAATCATTGGTATCACTAAAATTAACGTTAAAATTTGATTTAAAACTTTTTCGTCGGTGTAAAGGATCTGTACCTACTGTATATTTTTGTGAGTTTGTGCGCATTAATGAGTAGCTTAGTATAGTAGGCACAAAACAGGCACCGCTTCGTGTTGAAAAGGCCGGCTTGTTTGATAGGGTTATTTTTATTTTTGTTTATTTAGATTAAACATTATTTGATAAGAGTATAAAAGGGGGAAAATAAACGTTATCAAAATATCCATTGCGGCTATTGAGAATTGAAATGGAGCAAAGGAAGCAGCAGGGAGTGATGGTGGTGAAGGGTTTACCTCAGCAGCTTCAGAACCCAATAGAGCAGCTCCAAGCACGTTTCAAGGAGTTAGAGAGTGGTTTCAGGCTCTGGCTCTCCAAGCAGTCTCTTCCCGTCGAGGCCGCCGTCGTCACCACCACCAGCGCCGCCCAAGGCGCCGCTATCGGCGCCTTTATGGGCACTCTCACCACCGACGCCACCTCCGCTTTTTCCACCCCTCCCCCTAACGCTTCTCTCAACCCTCAAGCCATGGCCTCTCTTAAGCAAGCTCAGGTTCACTCAATAATATTCATCTGCCATGCCCTATTTTTTTTTCTTTTTTCAATTAGGGTTATTTAAATGTATAGATGAAGGTTTCATTCATTTGGAGTCCGAAATATTAGGGTTTTTTTCTTATGGAATATGAGTTTTGATTCTTAGCCTTAGAGGGTTATTATTATATATGCAGGCTCTTTCTGGGGGTCCTTTAGTTCAAGCTCGCAATTTTGCTGTCATGACCGGAGTGAATGCTGGTATCTCCTGTGTCCTGAAAAGGTTAAGGGGAAAGGAAGATGTTCAGTCCAGGTGAGCTTTGATGACCCAAAATTTTCTCCTTTTTTCTTCTTGTTTCCTTCCTCCATGAGTTTCATTACTTCAATTAACTAGTACCCAAGTGTTTTGTGAGTGAAATTATACAACTTCTCCTTCTGTTCAAAATATTTTTATTCTGGAACGAGCTTACAGAGTTTTTGCCTTTTTTTTCTGAATTCGAGCTTAGGAATTTTAGATTTTCCTCTTATTTAGAAGATCTTTCGTTATTTTTAGGGATTTTAGTTTAAATAAGTTATATTTTATTGGGAAAATATTATCATGTTAATGTTTCTTAATTATTTTGATTTAATTAGGATTTCATTTCATGTTTTAGGGAATTAATATTTGATTAGGGGTTTATATATAGTTACGTATATTCAGGATTTTTATTATCTTTGGGTTATAAATACCGTTTAAGTGCCATATGTTATTTAAACTTTATGTAGTTATATTATTTGAGGTTTTATTTTACTCTCAGAGAATCTGAAATACTAGTCAGAGGAGTACTCTGTCCTAGAGGAGTACTCTAGGTTTATTGTTCTACTTCGCCCTCCCTTTCTTTCTCCAAATTCTCCATCAACAACTATGTCTAGTATTACTATTACAATACATCCATAGATAGCCAAAAGAATTTTGTAGTTTGATATGTCAATTTCAAAATTAGAGATACATACCGAACTTCTATATGGTTTTAAATTCAGTTTAGTTTTGTCTATGCATGGGAACTAGGTGCGGTGAATTTGAAAGTTTAACTGATGATTAATCTAAAAGAGGACATTTATAAGTGCTTATTTTACCTCTATTGGCCATATACAATGTTACTTATTATTAAAAGAATTGTACAATCATAATCTCTCATTTGTTTCTTTGTTTTTTGTACATGTTTCTTTATTCTTTATTTTTTGTAAAAAAAAATTTATACATTTATAAGTTGAGATTCTGATCTAATGGTATTAGAGAGTGATAGACAAAAGTAGACAGAAAAAGAGATAGGTAGAATAACCTATCCCATGATTCCTTCCATCTTCCTATTTATATTAAAACAGAGGTCAAGAACAGGCCCAAATCCACTAATAAAATAAGACTAGTAACCCTACATGAATAAGGGGGAAAATAAGGAAATATAAAGAAATCTGGAAGTCAATCCTAAGAGATCATCCAAGATACCCTAAAATATTCTAGGATACAATAAAGGTAGTACTAGAATTTTCTAGATATTCTAACAGTTATTCTATAGCTGTCAACTTGCAATTTTGCTCCAATGAAGGCAAATTTATATGTATTAGGAAGAGATAGAAACTTATAGGAGGTGGAAGATTACCTAAAGGGAGCAAGTAAATGATGATAATATGTGAACTGGGTAATAATTATGTATACTTTGTTCTTGGTTTGGATACCATTATGATGCAAGCTTCAATACACTTGTGGTATCAAAATATTTTCTAAATTCATTTAAGATGAAATGTCCTTGGTACCTCTATATGAAATTTCAAACTTTAGGTTGAAAGTCATCAAAGGGTAAACACATATATGATGACTCTGAAGTTTTTCTTACGTCAGTGTTGTGAGAATCTTGCCAGCAGCCTATGAACTATTAAAGTAGATGAAATGGCTCTTATGATACCTATGGCTTGTAGGTGACTGATTTTTTTTCCTTGACAAAAGCTTTTGTTCACTTCCTATTATGTAATGGTCTGCTCAGTATTTTGGTATGCTATGTTCTTATTACATCTAGTGTGCTTTCTTATAGCAGTTATGATTTTGAGAATCCGCTAAATTATATATTGCAGCATGGCGGCAGCTTTTGGATCTGGGGCCATGTTTTCATTAGTAAGTGGCATGGGTGGACCAAATCAAGCAGCAAATGCAGTCACTTCTGGACTCTTCTTTGCACTTGTTCAAGGTGGACTTTTCCAGGTGGGCAGGAAGGAAAAACAATTGTATATTTATACAGTTTTTATTGGCCTTTGTTATTTTGTACCTCAAATGAGTTGGAACAATGATTGCTGGGCTTCCCATGTTGGTAAATATCACAGTGAATGTTTGTTGATTGATATCATCTATAAACAAATTTCTTGGGCTTCTAATATTACCTAGGGTTTATAATTTTGGACATTACTTATTGATCTTTGTGCCCAAGTGAGGTTTTCTTGCCTAGATCCCTGGATTTTTTGTGTGTAATGCATGTTTATAATTTGGTGTGCCATTTACTCATAGTATGTATTCAAATTATGCAGTTAGGACAAAAGTTTTCTCAACCACCAGTTGAAGATATTCACTATGCTAAAACAAGACATATGTTGCACAACCTTGGTCTTCAGAATTACGAAAAGAATTTTAAGAAAGGCTTGTTATCGGACAACACTTTGCCTTTACTCACAGACAGGTTGGATGTTCAATTTGTTGTCAGGTTTTTCTTTCTTTTTTTTCCCTTCATAAATTTTGCTTACCTTGTGTTGGAGTGTGAGTCCTTTGTTTTCCTATTATGTGTGTCTCAGTGCTCTCAGAGATGTGAAGATTCCTCCTGGACCCAGGCTTTTGATTCTTGACCACATCCAGAGGTAGGAGTTCTGCTCTCTGTGTTTTCATATAGTACTACTGCCCGTTTTTTCATACTCTTAAATGCTGTAGTCTGGCTTCAGGGACTCGGATTTGAGAGAGAAGCGAGGAAACCGGAGTTGACTGATATGAATAGAGTTTGCTGCCTCCAAGGTTAAAAAATATTGAAATGGATAGTTGGAAGTCTGTGTTGCAAATGAATTTTGTCATTTTTTGTTTATTATGCTTTCTGTTCCATTGTTGTTGCAGTGTACTTGATAAAAATTTGGTTAACTAATCAGTTATTTAAGTTGCCATGAAAGGCAAATGGCATTAAAGTAAATTCTGGAGCATGAAATTGTTAACTTAAAATAAGAAAAGTTTGTGCTTACTTGCGGAGGAATTGTCACTGATTGAATGAGTTCTATCAATGTTAACCACCCAATCAGTTATTTAAGTTGCCATGAAACGCAAATGGCATTGAAGTAAATTCTGGAGCATGTATTTGTTAACTTCAAATTAGAAAAGTTTGTGCTTCCTTGTGGATGAATATTCATCTATCTTGGTCCAAATAGATGATGATAATACAAATGGAAGAAAAATAAGACTTACAACGCTATTAGGAAGATATCTTGTGTTTAACTTCAGCACTTGAATCGTTGGTGGAATTGAACCTTGCATTTCGGAAGGACGTGTTAATTCTTGTTGTTAACAATGGGTTAACAATGCATTTTCTGTGAGAAACAGAAGTTTAAGTTTGGAGGTGTCACTCGTGGAGAAGAATTAATTATATATTTATCTATCTAAAGCGGTTAATTTCACTTCTAAAGCGTGTTAGAATATTTTAAAATGGTATAACTGAAAAAATGTCTTAAGATAATAGGTCAGATGTGGAATTGCATTTCGACAGTAGTTTTATTGTAAACTCATGGTTAGGGGTGTTAAATGAACCAGGGGCCTTTGACTCGGCTCGTGAAAGCCTAAGCTTATATATCTAAAATTGGTTGTTGGCACTAGGCTTGAACTTATATAAAAGCTCTTTTGATAAAAAGGTCTAAGACTTCAATTCAAAAGCTCGGTCTTAGAGCCTTTCAGGCTGACCTATTATATATATTTTTTTTTTTTATATTTTTTATACGATTTGTAATAGCTCTCTCTTTCTTCTCAATCAATTTCACTTCATTTTATTGGTTAAACAGACTTTTTGAATGATTTTATTATATATTATGTTGTTTGGATATATAGTGAATTTATAGATATTTATGGAATTAATAGTGTTGTTGATTGTATATTATTTATGTATAAATTTTTGTTGTTATTTTTTTTTTAACAGGCTATACCAGGCTTTTATTTTTTGTAAATAAGTCAGGCCAAACTAACAATTATATTTATAGCAGGTAACTGGCTTGGTCAGGCTGACACATTTAAACACAAAATTAATCTTTTAAGATCAAAGCTCGGCTCGGCCCGTTAACACTCCTACTCATGGCTCTAGTTTATGACAAGTAAGGGCCACCTGGAAGAAGTAATTCTAAAGCATTAGCTTTTATGTACATGATGCGACGAATGAATGCCATAGCTACGTGTGCGGTGTGCTAACTGCAAGCATTTGCAATATAGTTGTCAATGAGGATTTCTGGCCACAAAGACAATACAAAAGGAAGGCTTGATAATTATATTTGCTCTCAACAATTTACTGAAAATATTAAGGGTTGCATTACTTTATCCCTAAGGGGTAGGGTATCTTACATTATAAATTAGTTGGTAAGTTAAACTAATGACTAATTTACATTGCTCTTGGCTAAACCATTTTGTTGGGGTGTATGAGGGCAAGATGTTTGATGAAGAATGCCATGAGATGCAAGGAATTGCTGATACTAATGAGATAAATATTCACATGCATTATCACTACGAATAGAAATACCAAACTGGTTTTTTATTTCATTATAAATAACTGAAAAATAGAAAATAACTTAGAACTATTTTTCATTAGAAATATCAAGTACATATGGAATAATCATCAATAAAAGCAACAAAATACTTAAACCCTAAAGTAGAAGGATGACGACTTGGTCCCCAATATCAAAGTGGACCATAGAAAAAGAAGATAAAGCTTGACGACTAAGACGACTTGAGAACGTACTACGACTATGTTTCCCAAGCTGATACAACTCACAATTTAAACTAGAAAGAGACGATAAATGTAGAACCATCTTTTGAAACTTGATAAGACTTGGATGACCCAAACGAGCATGAATAGTAAGAGGAGAATTCACAGTAGAGCAGGCTGAAGAAGAAGGAAACAGTTGATAGAGGCCATGAGACTCACATCCTCTGATAATCTCCTTTCGAACTTCAAAAAGTACTTCAATCGTCTATATGGTCTCAAACAATCTCCAAGAGCTTGTTTGGCAAATTTAGCAGTGTTGCTCAACAATTTGGTATGACTCGGAATGAAGCTGATCATTCTCTCTTTTATCGTCATTCAACTTCCGGATCTATCTACTTGGTGGTATATGTGGATGATATTGTCATCACAGGTAGTGATAATCATGGGATCACTCAGTTAAAACAACATTTTTGTCATCATTTTCAGACCAAGGATCTTGGGAAACTTCAATATTTCTTGGGAATCAAGGTGACTCAATCTAAAGATGGAGTAGTGATATCTCAGAGGAAATATGCTCTGGATATTCTTGAAGAAACTGCTTTGTTAAATTCTAAGTTTGTTGATGATACCCCTATGGATCTGTAAAGAACCAATTCAACCCAAAAGCTTAAGCTATTGGGTGAGATTAAATTAATTATTTTATATATCTCAACGCGCCCCCTCACACGAGAGCCCGCTGGGCTTGAAGGGTGGACATAGCACAGGCCCACTTACATGTGAAAACAAATAAATTCCACTTGAAAGAAAGTGGGGGGCAACGAGGATCGAACCCGGGACACGAGGCTCTGATACCATGTAAAGAACCAATTCAATCCAAAAGCTTAAGCTATTGGGTGAGGTTAAATTAATGGTTTTATATATCTCAACAGGATCCAAGTGTAAATCTTCTACCAAATCAGGGGGAGCCCTTTAAAGATCCTGAAAGATATAGAAGATTGGTTGGAAAACTAAACTACCTCACAGTCACTCGACCTGACATTTCGCTTGCAGTCAGTATGGTAAGTCAATTTCTTAATTCTCCATGTCAAGAACATTGGAATGCCGTCATTTGTATTCTTAAGTAGATCAAGACATCTCCAGGAAAAAGCCTTGAATATGAAGATAAAGGTCAAATTAAAGTTGTTGGATACTCTGATGTTGATTGGGTCGGTTGTCCTACTGATAGGAGATCTACTTCTGGATATTGTGTCTTTGTTAGAGGCAGCTTGATTTTCTGAAAAAGTAAGAAACATAATGTAGTTGTCAGATCAAATGCTAAAGCACTATACTGCTCCATGGCTACCACTACTTGCGAGCTCATTTGGTTTAAGAAACTTCTTAGAGAGATCAAGTTTGGAGACACTGGACCGGCAACTCTCATTTGTGATATTTTTCCCAATCCAGTGTTTCATGAAAGAACCACGCATATCGAAATAGATTGTCACTTTATTTGAGAGAATGTCCTTACTGGTGAAATTACAACCAGTTTTGTACCCTCTAATGATCAATTAGCAGATATATTTACAAAGTCTTTGAAAAGTCCTTAAATAGAGTTTATAGGTAACAAATTTGGTGCTTATCATCTATATGCTCCAACTTGAGGAGGAGTGTTAGAAAGACTATATTTAGAATATATGTAAAGGGATAGGATATTGTGACACTCAAGTTATGTTACACCCATGTGACACCCTGTCAATCTCACCGTTAGATGGCTTATGTTGATCCAACGGTTATATTTATTTCCATCTTTGTATGGTCATGATTTCCCAAATTTAATATTTTATATTTATTTCTACCTTTGTATGGTTATGATTTCCCATATTTAATGCTTTCACTTTAAATTTGGGAAATCATGACCATACAAAGATGGAAATAAATATAACCGTTGGATCAACATAATCGATCTAACGGTGAGATTGACTGGATGTCACATGGGTGTAACATAACTTGGGTGTCACAATATCCTATCCCATATGTAAATATCTATTTTCTTATTTCATTAGGATCCTATCCCATATGTAAATATCTATTTTCTTATTTCATTAGGATTTGAGTTAAGTTTGGGTTAAGCCCATTAGTATATATAGACAGATTCATTTTCAATGTTGCTTTCATCTTTTGTTATTCAACAAATATCAATTTATTGAGAGTAAGAATTCATGCCACGAAGTTCTTTTGTTCCTCTTCTACTCTAGGAAGAAAGAAAAGCGGAAGGTAATGCATTTCTAAGGTTGAGAAATGGGGTTTTCCACATTTGAGATCTCAAGGCAATCAATTCTTCATTTGTAGCCGCACACACATATTGCTATGTTTCGACCATTTCATCGATGTCATTATAATATCAAATTTTAATCGACCATTTCATCGATGTCGTTATAATATCAAATTTTAATAGTAAATGCAAGTCTAAAAAAATAAATTTGTCTTCAATAATAAACTAATAAGAGACGCAACTAAACTGAAGATCACATGCAAACAAGCACATCAAATGCCAAAACGAAACAATCACAGTCATCCCAAACAAACTAGCACCTGAATTGACAGGAGAATCCGCTGCAAATCGTAATGAAAGTCAGGGAACAAATTAACTTATTTTATATTTCATTTAATTTAATTAAAAAAAATATGTAAAAGAACTATAAAAAAAGATTTTTTTTAGAATTTTAGCAAATGAAACATGCTAATAGCATGCTATAAGTTATTATTATTATTATTATTATTGAAAAATTTAGATTAGGAGAAGACACCTCCTAAGCAGAATCACCAACTTCAATGAGAATTTATTACATATCATTTACAAAAATAAAAACAAGAATAAAATCCAAAATTTCGGGTGGATAGTTCGGCTTTTTCACCCTTTTGCCCCTTATTCAGAACTATCTACCAATTTGCTTCTTTTTAATCGATTAAGCCAAAAATTTAATCGATTAAATGGTCAAAATAGGCAAAAATCGTTGACTTGAAGATTTAGTCGATTAAATCTCCCTATTTAAACGATTAAATCTCTCATGCATAAGGTTGTTCTTCTGATAAAGAGGAAGATTTAATCGATTAAGTTGAAGATTTAATCATTTGACCATTTAATCGATTAAATATTCAATTTAATCGTTTAAAGAGGGGCAGATTGGTAGATAGTTTGCAATAAGGGTCAAAATAATCATTAAATAATTAGTGAGGGCAAAAGGGTGAAAAAGTCCGGAAAGTTCGATAAAAACCCATTCGGAGCATAAGTTAACTTTCATGGGTGTGTTATAACTTTTTTGTATTTGCATATATAAATTAACAGAAAAAAATTTCTACAATTAATGCAGATAAGTTATCTGCATTTATTTTCAAAACGATGTCATTTTGAGATTGAAAGATTAAAAAATTATAATTATAAAGACTATAATAACCCTGAAATAAATTAAAATTACAAAAGCACCATGAGTTTTGTCTCAAAATGACGTCGTATTGAACTTACTGCATATAACTTATCTGCAGTAATCGCAGAAAAAATGAACCAATAAATTAATGTTTCTCGTATAGTAAAAAATGATTTCATATATATATATATATATATGAAATTTATATTTTTTTCCCTCTCATTTTTTATCTATATTTTTTTTCACTCTTTTTTATTTACATATATATGAAATAAATTTATTTGATGAAAAATATTAATCCTTTGAAAAAATTAGGTATGTATCCACCGCTTTCCCTCTCACTCTTGCTTACACAGACACATTGACGCTAAGACAAGGGGACACATGCAACTTGCAACTTTAATCGGTGAAAGACAAACACTATAATAGCGATTTGGCATGTGGGCCATGTAGCTTTGAGATTCGGCACTCAAGTTACATCGACGTGCCTCGTTCATGACTCATGTGCAAGCGTGACTCTTCGCTTGCCCTAATGTACGAAAGTCACAACTCACCGACGTTATTTTCAACGGCATATATATATATATATATATATATATATATATATATATATATATATATATATGAGGTAGTATCCTTTGACACCGGTGTCAAATTTCAATTTTGACACCTCATCTGAGAGCTGTTAGATCAAAAAAGATCAATGATGTATTTCAATTTTGACACCTCATCTGAGAGCTGTTAGATCAAAAAAGATCAACGACTCTGATTTGCAAACATGTGACATCATTGATCTTTTTTGATCTAACGGCTCTCAGATGAGGTGTCAAAATTAAAATTTGACACCGGTGTCAAAGGATCCTACCTCTATATATATATATATATATATATATATATATATATATAGAGAGAGAGAGAGAGAGAGAGATGACATCCTTTGATATCAGTGTCAAATTTGAAGTTTGACACCTCATCTAATAGCCGTTAGATAAAAAAAAGATTAATGGTATTACATGCTTACAAATTAGAGTGGTTGATCTTTTTTTATCTAACTGCTATCAGATGAGGTGTCAAATTTTAAATTTGACACTGGTGTCAAAGGATCCTACCTCATATATATATGGGGTTTGCATTCATCATTTAACATGACCACAAAAAATTTGCTACACCCACAACATTTTGTAGGACCCGCATGTTTTGAAGAAAAAAAAAAACTACGACACGAAAAAAGAATCTCTACAACATAACACAATCATTTTTCCTACAACATAATTATTATAAAACACTATATATATATATATATATATACATATATATATATATATATATATATGTATATATGTATATATCTATATATACATATATATATATGTATATATAAGGGTAGGATATTCTTACACCGGTGTAAGAGTTAGAAGTCTTACACTCAATCTTAATAATTGACCCACTTGTATCCAATGGCTCACTTTACTAAAATATTTGAGCTCTTAGATACGAGAGTGTAACTTACACTGGTGTAAAATGATCTTGATCCATATATATATATATATATATATATAGGATTTTATTAGTCTCCTTTCACATAAGATAGTGTTACGAGGAGGCCCAAGGACTTTATTTCAGATGTGTAGCTAGCCCAATGTAGTTAGGTATTGTGAAGCCTGTCGAAAGTTGTATAAAAGAGAGTATTGTAACTCTTTCAGAATATCAGAATTTTAATCAATGAAATTCCTTGTTTCTTCTTTGTGTTCTTTAGTTTCTTGATTTTTCCTTGCATGTGCCTTCGATAGGATCCCATCTCTTATCATTGGTGCTTTCATTGAAAGTTGAACTTGCCATTTTTCTACAAAATTCATGCTTTCATCTTGTTGAACCTTCATCTTGGTCGAATGCAGCAAGTGATTTAAGATGCATACGAGAATGGCGAAAGGTCTCATTGAGGATCGAGCCTTGTTCTCCAAAATCAATAATTTGTTGCAGCAAATTCATGCCGCAATCTTGGATAAATGTCCCGATCAATCACTTCCTTGTCAGTTGCCAAACATGGAATCCCCAACTTGTTGCCCTTTGAAGCGTTTTTTATCTGACCCTGTTTTTTACTCCTCTATCTCCATCATTACCAGAGGAGACACTAAGAGAGCCCCCTATTCAAGGAAAACCATGTAGGAACATGTTGACTCCGCACTTGCAGCGTTTGAAGTACAACAGAATGTTCGTAATGGTCAAGAAACCTTACAAGCTTCCTAGATTTGCTCCTCTCCTTATAACAGCACCCTCAACTTCCCAGGCCCCAAGGTCCAGAGGTCAGCGCTGCAAGGTTTCTGGGAACAACGGTCCCTTGTCGATGAAAGAATTGAAGTGGTTCCATTTGGAAGTTTGGAACACGATGAAGAAGGATGGTGCGCAGGTTTTGCAGAAGATGATGAAACCCAAATTCAGTTGGATCTTCAAAGTTCCCATGCAGTCAAATCTTGCCCAGAATAGGTATGCAACACACATGTTTGATGAAATTCCTAGCCTAAATACAGGGTATGCAACCCACATGTTTGATGAAATTCTTCAAGACCCATTTTCAGAATTTTCTCTTCAAGATTTTGTTCCCTTTTGTCTTTTTTATTTTTCCTTCCATTTTACTTGGGATCCAGGAGGGTTTTTGGGTGGTACCAGTTTGGGGGTTTTGGCCACTGCAAGCAAGTCTTTTTATATTTTTACTAACCATGAACCCCTTTGGAGGAATCTTGTATTTGATAGATTTTTTGGTGGGTTTCGATATAGTGGGTCTTGGAAATCTACTTATGTTGCTTCTTGTTACCCTTCATTTGATATCTTGAGTAGTGCTCTTCAAAGTTTCAAGGTTAGAGACTTTTATTCCGATTATCTTTTCAAGAGTTGGGTCTGTTCTAATTTTGAAATGAAGCTTGAATTGTTGGAGAGGGATAATATAGTTCGAAAGAAAAAAAATTTAGTTGAAGAAATTATGTTGAATTTTGAGGAGCCTAAAAAGCCGGTGTTGTTGGATGGGGGTCTTGATAATTGGAATGCAGTGATCAAATGGTCCAAGAAATGGGTATTATTTCCTCCTAATGTAGTTCCACCTGGTGTTCATCCTAGTCCTCATGGTGCAAAGATGGCATCTCCTGTTTCAATAATTGATTGGTTCATGAACTTTTACGGTGCTTTTCATTTTCCTTGGGATGCAGGATGATCTTGTACTCTTTTGCCTCATTTAGGACCTTGAGGACAAGGTCCATTTCGTAGGGGTGAGTAATGTTAGGCGAAGTAGTTAGTTTGTATGCACTTGGAGAATAGGTAGCTGTTAGTTGTAGTATGGTAGTTTCTGATGTAGTAGGCTTGTTGTAATATTGAGTAGGTCATTGAGTAGGTTAAGGGTGGTTACATTCTGTTGTATTAGTCATGAAGTAGTTACTGTATGCATAGTCATTATTAGCTGTGAAAATCCAACTTGGGAGTATAAGGCAGACTTGCAAAGTCTGTACACCAGATTTTAGAATATCAAGGATGAACCTTGAGGACAAGGTTCCTTTGGTAGGAGGAGCAAATGCTACGAGGAGGCCCAGGGACTTTATTTCAGATGTGTAGCTAGCCCAATGTAATTAGGTATTGTGAAGCCTGTCAAAAGTTGTATTAAAGAGAGTATTGTAACTCTTTCAGAATATCAGAAGTTTAATCAATGAAATTCCTTGTTTCTTCTTTGTGTTCTTTAGTTTCTTGATTTTTCCTTGCATGTGCCTTTGATAGGATCTCATCTCTTATCAGATAGTTATCTTATTTTGTAGAGAGAAAATAAGTTGATCCCACCATTACAAGAAAAAAGAGAGAGTAAAAAGTAAGATACGAAATTCGAAGTGAGAGAACATGAGAGTAGATATCTTATGTGAAAGAAGAATAATATTTCTCATATATATATATATATATATATATATATATATATAGGGAAATATTATACTTACTACCTAATTTTCTTACTACCTAATTTTCTTACTACTTGTTACTACCAAATCTTAACCGTTGATTTCCGTCAATCTAACGGTTATAATTTATTACAAATTAATAATTAATTAATAAATATGATCCATAAATTACAACCGTTAGATTGACAGAAATCAACGGTTAAGATTTGATAGTAACAAGTAGTAAGAAAAATACGTAGTAAGTATAACATCTATATATATATCACCATGGTCGCATGGACCCGTTCTTGAATTACTGTTGCTGACTTGCTGGGATTAGAAATACGATAATTGAATATATAATTAAACGATAATTTTGAAATCAATCAAGTTCAGTCATTATTTTTTTAACTTTTTCAAGAATTACTAATTATTCATGCGTTCAATTTTTAAATATTATAAATTATTTATCCTATTAATTTATTTATATTCCTATAAATTTACAGCAAATGCTTCAAGATCTGCATATTTTGAAAATTCAATTCAATTTACAGGAGCATGACCACATAGGCATGAGGTTAGTTTTTCACATTGGTTTAAAGATTTTTTATTCATACTTTGAATTTACATATCTTAAATTTGAAAATAACTACATAGCTACAAGATTAACAAGCAACGTTTGAAAAGTTGACTTTGAAAGTGAGGTAATCGTCGCAGATTCTAAAATCAACCAAGACTTTTTCAATTCTTTACCCAGATTCTACCAATAGAGGAATTTTTCACCAAAATGAGAGATTCGATGCGTGCCAATTGAAGCCAGCATCGATTATGAGATAAAAGTTTTTCTAAGTTATTTGCTAGTTTGGACAAATCAACGTCCAAGTTTGTTGCACGTTGAGGTTACGTGTAACTGACTTTAGTTTATATAATCAAATTAATAGAGCAAAATAAATTTAAAGAGAATCATTACTTTTTCATGAGGCACCGTTCTGGCGTTCTCCTAGTCCTATCAATGGAATACAGTATAGCATTAAAAAGAAAAATTTTCTCTTAAATTAAATTTATTTTAAATTAAATATAACTTGACTTAGTTATTTTAAAAATAAATTCAGATTTAAAAGCATCGTTGTCGGCAAAATAAAAGGAGATAAGGGATAGAATATGGATGGCGACGGTAAAAGAACCTTTCTTCACTTTTCTCGTTGTAGCTTTCAGCTGCGGGCCACTTCTTAATTTCCAATGCACAATACGCATCAACAATGTTCTCCACTTTTTATCACTTTGCCACGTGTCAACTCATTATTCGTACCAATTCCGAGATCGTTGGCAAGCTAATTAATATCACTGCTTTATTGATGAATCTATACAAACTGAGTATATGAAAAGCAATAGCGTAATGAACATTGAAATCGTTCGATATTTATTTGTCGTAAGTGGCCACGTTTTTGGTCTACAGATGCAGATAATTAATTTGATGATGACGCAAGACATAGCTCACGTTAATTCCCAGAGAGGAAAAAAAAAAAAACCGCAGCGGCACGAACAAAAAATGGCTTAAACTTGGTTCTGATTTCAACTTCTTTCTTTTTTTAATGAAATTAATTTGAACACCGTTGTAGACGTTTCTTTTTTCCACTTTGAGTTTCGTATTGGAAATTAAACAAGATGTGAAATAAATCAAAACTCGTTAATGTCAAAAATCCCATGTTGTCTTTCACATGGGGAAGCGAAGAGACCCTCATACGTTGATTACATTCTTATTGGTTATTGAAATAATCAATGTTAAGACTTTTTACATTTGCAAAAAGCATTTTTGAACAATCAAAGTGGTAAAAGACGCAATTCTCAAAATTACACTATTCTCTCCAAACAAATAATCTACAACAGAAAAATTTTACAATATAGGAAGAAAGATTCGATCCACGTGACGTGAGTATGGATGATCGATCATCATATAACATGATTCTGCGCTGCAAAAATAAAGTTTATTACAAGAATTTTTTCACAGAACCATAAATCTCATGAGTCATGACGAAGAAGTAACCGAAATGGAGGAGGAGGAGGAGGAACCCCCAGCCTTTTGAAGGAGAGTCTGCGCGTGGGAGAGCTGGTCCATGAGGGACACGATTCGCGAGTGGTAGTCACGCGCCTGGTAAACCGCCTCGGCCTCAAGTTCCCCGAGCTGCGAGCAGAGCCTCTCCTCTGCCTCCTCCGCCACGCGCAGTCTCTCCCACGTGCTCTGCAGATCCCGCCTCATCTGCTCCTCCCTCTCCTTGCTCTCCCTCAGCTCCTTCTCCAACGCCTCGTTCCTCCTCTTCAGCTCGCTCTCCGGCGCCGCCGTCTTCTTATTCTCGTGCTTACCGCCGATGCCGATAACCGCCATCATCGTCGGCGCCATAAATAAGCTTATGGAAATTAAATTAAATTTAAATGGTTTACAAATTTGGAAATGACAGAAATGATAGGGAAACTGAGCTTGTTTTGGGTTTTGTGGTTTGGCTGCATGGGTATAAATAGAGCAGGATCAGGTGCGTCCAGGTTCAATGAACCTTGTTTTCACCCGCGGCATTTACGACGTAGCTGTCTTGCTGACGCATTTGCTTTGCTTACTTTTTTTTTATTTTTTCATTCACTGTTGTTTCCCTCATTTTTTTTTTTTTACTGTTATAACCATTTTTGTTCCTTTTGTCGGCATAACAAAAAGTTCGTTATTTAATAAAGCGAAGGATTTATTTATAACTTATTATTTTATAAATTGCATTAAATATGATTGATCATATATTTTTGATTAAAGTATGATCGATTATACTTAGTGTAATTTCTAATAATTTATAAATAAAAATTTTGTAATTACAATCTTCTCTATTAAATAATACTTTTATTTTCTTACAGTTAATAAGAAGTTAATCACATTATTATTAAAGTCGAATTGTTCATCGACTCAGTTAGTATATTAATTTAATAATTTAATCGCATGAATAATATATTAATTAATAACTAGAGTTCGATCAGTAGCAAATGTCATAAGTTATAATTTACATAATTTAGGTTCAAATTTTATTAGTGATATTTTCAAATATTTTGTCAAAAATTTCACAAAATTAATTTTTTTTTTAAATTAATACCTGTTTAATACCGATTAAATCTGTCAATTTTATACTCGGTTAAATATATAACCAGTCCAATTCTTAAATCGGATCGGTTAGGGTCCAATTTACGATTCAATCAATTGAACTATCGGGGTCGGAATAGTTTTTAACATTTTATAATACTAGACTTAATCCTCATTCGAAAAAAGAGTGTTCTAGAAATTCTTTTTATCGGTGTCTTTTTGTAGCAATAAATTTTAGAATATTTAAGAGACCTAAATTCCGTCCTCTTAAACCAACACGTTAGATAATTATTTAACAATAATGAAAGAGTTAAACACTTTTAACAAGTATAAAAGTCAATGAATTTTATTAATTGAGTAAAATTACAAGCTAATAATTGACGTGTTTCTATTTTTATTTATTTATTTTTAAAGAGTTTGTGCCCAAAATGTTTGCACCACCGTTCACCGATTTATGGTTTGGGTTTGGCTCCTCTTGTTCCGAGTCTCGCGTTTCAAAATATCTAAGGTGGTAGATTATTTAATAGAAATCCTTGATATCACAATTAATGTTAATTTTTTTTAAAAATTAAGCACAAATAAAGCAGCAAGAATCCGAGATTGAACAAACCACGTGCTATTCCGCGGAACAACTAGATTCTTAAACGTTTAGTGACGAGAGTTAATTAAAATGCATTGACTTAAATGTCTTGGTTTGCTTTTTATTAGTAAGTTTTAATGACAATCTTTCTTTCTTTTTGGTAAACTAATGACAATCTTTACTTATATAAAAAAATGTAAATTCAATATTGAGATTTATGATATATTTTGACGAACTTCTTCATTCTTTAACTTTTAATTTAAAATATATATATATATATATATATATATATATATATATACATATTAATTTAGAGTCAATTTCCTTGTGTTTTTTCTAAATAAAAATAAGTACTTTTCAATAAGATAATTTATGGGTTTGATGCTTGTCATTTTAAATGACACAAGTTATATCATTTTAAGAGAGAGATACACACAATCACACAAGGTGTTCTGCCTTGGGCAGATGTGTCCAACCGAGGTCGGGGGCTCTCTCTTTAGATACCTATCAATTAGGTATCTTGGGGACAACAAATCACCACACACTATATAATGACTGTAGCTTGAAGGTGTGTGTGTGCACTGTCGTGATTGCATAAAATAGGGTTAAAGAGATCAACCATACATGTGGTCTTTAGCTCCTATTTATAGAGCTTACCTTTGGGCTTGTGTTAGTTGGGCTTCTTGTAGTCGTGGGCCTTTTCTCGGTCCATAACAGTTGTCCCCCAGCCCGGTAGACTGAGTCATCAGGTTGCCGGGATGTCCAAGTCAAGCCGATTGTTGTATGTGCTTTAGCTTGTACGTTGGTCATCTGGCTGTTGTGTTTGTTACTTCGGCTCCGAGAAGAAGAGCTTTCCCAGGTTTCTACAAGCATTACTGCATATGGGGTGTTCTATAATTGCCAATTTCATTCGGGTCACTCTGTCGGGTTCTCGGTCATGCATCCCTCTTAGACTAGAAACTCAGTCACTTATTTCGGCAGCGTAGAAAATGATTGTACTAACTGTTGTCTGATGATTGCTTTGAAGTTGGAAACGAATTCCCTTCCATCTAATGATTACTTTGCCATGTACTCCCTTCCAATAGGCACGATGTAAGAACCCGCACCGTTAATTAAGGAATTTAATTAATAAATTACGAGAAAATAGGAAATGATTCCATAATTGACCCTAATAATTATTTATGAGGCTTAATAATCGTAATAAGTGATTAAGAATGCTGAAAGTCGCTTTTCGGAAGAAAAGTGTAGATATCGGTTCTGCTAGTCGGTATAAATGCGTGCCAAAAAAGTATCCCGAAAAATTAATGTAAGTGCATGATAATTACTAGAATAATATGTAGGACTTGTAAAACGAGTTTCAAGTCCAGATAACGAGAACTGGTGCTGGAAATCGGTACTGGCTTGGAAAAGCGCGTACCGAAAAATTGCTCAGAAAATTATAAGAAAAATATGATAAATCTTAGAAAATTATGTAGTTTCATAATCTAAAGTTTGGGATTAAAATGCTAAGCGTAGCAATTAAAGTTAATACTGTGTGTTTTATGTTAAGTGGCTATATATAGGCTTGTTAGCACAAAATCCTAGGCTATAACACATTCTCTACGTGAGTCTTGGGGCTGGCCAACTGCTGAGTACTGTTCCATTGTGTTCCTCTTCCATTTCTTGAGCTTTGAGGCAACTTCCTTCACAAATCCTTCTCCTAAACACTTGGTGTGGGGTGAGAGTAGCTTTGGGGCTGTGTTGTTGACCCTGTTCTGTGTTGGGGTTGCTGTTTGTGAGTGTTGGAGGGGCTGTCCTCTTGAGTTGAGGTGGTGAGAGTCTTGCTCTTGGCTTGTGAAGCTCCAAGGAGCTTCCTTTGTGTGGAAAGGGCCAAGCTTTGGTAGCATTTTCGTGTACCCTTCAAGTCAGACTTGGAGAGGCAGAGTGTGGAGCTCCAAGAGCCTTTACTTCTGAGTTTTGAGCCTTGGTATATTGTACCAACCTTTAACTTGAGTTCTAAGACTTAAAAATGAAAACTTGATGCATGTTAAGATTAAAAGATGATAACTTGTTGTTGGATAAGGCTTAACACATCTAGAAATGCATGATTAGGTGTTTAAAATCGGTAAAAAGGGAACCTTTTTGGGATATCTTCACGAAAATGCAGAAACTGCATTCTGTCGTGAGATATCCGGATATTTGTCGAACTGATATGCGGATATTGGATATCCGGATACGTGGTTTTGGGATATCCGGATATTGGATATCCGGATATGTGAATCTGTATATCCGGATATTACATATCCGGATATGGATAGCGAGATATCCGGATATTCTGGGATTTCGCAGAACAGCAACTGTGCTGTGTGTACAGTAGGCTATTGGGGGTTTATGGACCCTAGTTTGATGAAGTTGAACTTCTGTATTTAATGGATTAAGCCAGAATCATGGGATTAAGGGCTTGTGGCTTTGTTAGAAGCTTTAAGACTTGAAAACATAATGAAAAGGCGTTGTCTAAATATTGTATGCTTGTGGTGCATGTTGTTGATGTATCGTTGGTCCATAACAGATTGTGAATCTGCTGTGTTTGGACTTTGAGCTGTGGAATCTTGGCTTTTGGAGTTAGCTTGCAAGGTAAGCTTTCGTGTCCTCGGTTTAGCCATGTTGTGGTTCCACCATGTCCCATGGGGGTATGGTTTATGCATGCTGTGTACATGCTTTTGGATATTTGATATGCCGATTGAACTTTACGTGTAATGGCTTTTAATATGCATGTGTTGTTTCATCTTGACGGGAAGCCTGAGTATGTAGCGCCATACAAGATGGTGTACCGGGGTGAATGCAAGTGGTACTTGCACGGTGTGTAGGTGATAGACGTATACCTGCACTGTCTCTGACCAGTAGATTAGTATTGACACACATGACATGATTATCTGCTGCATTGCATTGTTTTGAAATGATAAATGATAAACTGCTTTTGAACATATATTGCACATGTAAGTGAGCTTGGGGTGGAAGATTCTTGAGGACTCACTGACTTACTGAGATTTCTAGATTAGAGATCTTACCCCACGTTTGGGGAATGCTTATTTCAGGATCAAGTAGTATGGGTACTGATGCCTCAGGCGGCGGGAGGCCGGAGCTTAGCTGATTTTGTTGTTTCTGCTTAGTTGTTAGCATGACTGGATTTAGATGTTGTTTATGTTTTCCGCTATTTATGATATGATGTTGTTGAGACTGATGTTGGGCATGTTGCCTTATTTGAGTGAGCATGAGGATTGTCCATGACACTTTCTGTTAGTGCTTTTAGTTTGGAGTTGTATAAACTGTTAGATGGTCCGGTCTACGTTGTTGTAGTTCCGTGACTAGAGCCACACTTATATTATCTATGTTATGAGGTATTTCAGTTAGCTGTTTTATTGCAATTACATACAGGCGATGTTTTATTAAGCAAGTTGGTAATGTTATGGCATCATAATTGAAAAGAAAAAGTAATTCCGCATTTTAATTAAGCGCAGCTTAATACGATATTGTGATAACATTACCGGATATATACGGGGTGTTACACACGACGTGTGGCATGACGCGTTTCTCGCCGCCTTGGCATTTATTCTTTCTGAAGAAACGTCTTTCAACTGTCTTGTCCACCCTGTAATGATCGCAATGCCCCTGCCCTTTGGCTTTCGCGGGTTTAACCTTTCGATTTCAACCCCCACATTACCATTTTCAGTTTTGCAGACCATTTGCCTGTTTTTTCGTCCAGAATCGTTTGCCAGTATCCACATCATTTTCCTTCGGCGTTCACCATCTTCTACGTTTGCCAATTCCCAGTTTCCTCAACGCCATTTTCCGCAGGTACTTTCCTTCAGCATTTCTTTCCTTTCTGTCGCATTCTCCGTCAATTTTTTAACTTGGCCATGGCCTTTGGTTTTACGATGCTTCTTTTATTCTAGACTTACTTGCTTGCTTCTTTCCTTTGCATGTGCCAACCTGCATTTGTGACACATCATGCTGTTTTTGTCTGATTAAATTCTCTGTACTAGTCTTGCATTGTTTATATAAGCTTATCTGCTGCCCGTTCACTTCCTACGCACCCTGCTTTGAATAATTTTTGATATGGGTGAGAGAAATTATATCATTCGAGGACGACCCTCTTGCCTACGCATCTTCGGTCGTGGTGATGAGATTGCTGCCAAAGAAGAGGAACGACACGCATAAGAAGAGGAAAGGTTCATCCAGAGCCTATCTCCTGGTCCGAGGTATTGGTTGTATGGCAGGCCTCGAACCGAGGAAGAAACTCAGGCTGCTTTTCTAGGCAGGAGAAATTGGCTTCTCTTATGTAACATGGGATAAATATAAGGCTTTTTTACCCTTTTGCCCCTCATTAATTAATTAATAACTATTTTGCCCCTTATTGAAAACTATCTATCAATCTGCCCCTCTTTAATCGATTAAGTTGAAGATTTAATCGATTAAATGTTCAAAACTGACAAAAATCGTTGACTTGAAGATTTAATCGATTAAATCTTCAACTTAATCAATTAAATCTTCAACAAAGGAAAGCATATTGTACCAGAATCTCAGCCCCTTATTAAACCTTGTTGAAGATTTAATCGATTAAGTTGAAGATTTAATCGATTAAATCTTCAACTCAACTATTTTTGTCTGTTTTGACCATTTAATCTATAAAATATTCAAGTTAATCGGTTAAAGAAGGACATATTGGTAGATAGTTTTCAATAAGGGACAAAATAATTATTAATTAATTAATAAGAGGCAGAAGAGTCAAAAAAAAGCCTAACCCTTTAAAGAATAACAATCCCCACATAAACAACACGAACACAACATTGAAGTTTATATTACTCTATAATTTTAAGAGAAATATTATTTTTATGTCACATGATAGAATTTTTTTCTCATTCTCTCATAATTTAGAGGTAAAAAAATAGAGGAGAAAAAAAAATATAGAATGAGCCCTACATTTAATTTGCAAGTATATGAAAGAAAAATTCTTTTATATAACATAAGAGTAATATTCCCCTAATTTAGATCTTTAAATGATTAATAAGTTGTGTTTATAATTTTATTTTTTAAAATTGTTCAATGAACAACTAACAATGATAATTTTTATAAAATAAAATAAGATCTCTTAACTTTTTTATTTATCGTATAAAGTAAGAAAATATATTCAATTCATGGACAAAATTTATATAATTAGATGTAGGGTTCTTTTTTTTACTATCAATGTAGATAACTTATCTATATTGAGCCCAAAACAACGTCGTTTTGAGGCGGAAATCAAGATATTTTTGTAAATATAATTTATTTCAGGATTATAATAGTTTTTTTTATTATAATTTTTTAATTTTTCAATTCAAAACGACGTCGTTTTAGCAGTGAATGTAAATAACTTATTTACGTTCACTTTAAAAACATTAAAGCCTTAGATGTATTTATTAATATAAAAAATAGAACGGCAGTCTTTCATCATATATATTAAGGATAATATTTTTCTATAAAAGAAATATTATTTTCTATCTAAACAATAAATAGGAGAGAGAAAAAAAATTTGAGGTGTAAAAAAAAAATTGTTGTAAATTCTATTTGAAAAATATGGGTATAGAAGATAATACATTTGAAAATCGATGCAGAATTTTTTTAAAAAATCAATGTAATAATATATATAGATTAGAAGTAATGGAATGGGTAGGGTAATTTCGTATTCTGATTTCTGACATAATCACTCAGCATTATAACTTGTTATGGAAGGAAGAGGAAAATCTTTTTCCTTTCATTTCTATTTTGTGTTCTTTCTTTCTTCTTTCTTCTGTCTTCTTTTTTTCTGATAATAGCAAAGGCAATATGGATTCATGTACTACTTGCCCCTTTTGCGATTTACCGGTTCCCGCATCACAACTCGAATGGTATGTTATTCATTTCTTCTTCTTCTTCTTCTTCCCCATTTGATAATTGATATGAATGTGATTCTGCAAATACAGGCACGCCAACGCTCACTTTGACGATCACGACACTGATTACGAGCTGCTCCAACAAATTCATCGTTCTCCAAATTCGCCCCCTCAATCTCTCCCGGTACTACTATCTTCTCTCTTTCTCCTTTTTACTACGTCTATATCCACACAACCAAGTTTTGTCCCCCAGTTTATCCGAGGGAAACAAAAGCAAAAACAAAAAAGTAAATTTTTTTTGAAGCTTTGCTTATTTTTAAGAAGTTCCTTATGCTGTTTTGAATGCAAGTTTTTCCCAATTGAGCATAAAATGTGATCTGCTGAAACTGAACAGTGTATACCAACCACAGTTTCTGCAAAACACCAACTCCTGCGTGAATATTCTCCAATGTTTTTAAATTTTTTGGTTAAAATATAAGTTTTGATGTGTAATGTATAGAGGAATTTTTCTGCTTTTCTAGATTAGAGAGATATATAAGGTATTCAATCTGTGTTGTAAATTGTCTTATATTATATTTTGCAGAGTGAACAAGCAGCCAATGGCTCGGGGTTTGGAGCAACTTGTGGTGATTGTAACTATTGGTGTGGGGGTGGGAGTAGTAGAGGTACTGAGGAATGCACAATGGATGAACGCATCGCTTGCTTGATTGGATTACAAACCAGGAGCAAATTTTACAAAGTTGAAGTGGGTTTGATGGCCTTGTTGAGAAACTGTTTGGAGTCTGAAGCTGAAAACTCAAAAAGCATTTTGTCAGGTTATATTGATCATTTCCAGTGCCTTGAGTCCGAGGATGCTGGATGGGGTTGTGGATGGCGTAATATTCAATTGCTTAGCTCTCACTTGCTAGTGCAAAGACCAGAAGCAAGAGAAGCTTTGTTTGGTGGTTCGGGATTTGTTCCTGATATCCTGTCGCTCCAGAGATGGCTTGAGGTTGCTTGGGAAAAGGGTTTTGATGCACCTGGATTTTCTCAGTTCAGTCATGCTATTTGTGGCTCGAAAAAATGGATAGGAACTACTGAGTGTGCTGCTCTCTTGCGTTCCTTTGGTCTTCGGGCAAGAGTAGTGGATTTTGGTCCTAAGGAATCCCAGTCGCATTATACATCTGTCCCTGGTTCAACTGTTGATAACTCTATGGATAAAGCAAATAGTCATAAGATGGTAAAAAGTAATGCTAAAAAAAGTGAGGCTTGTCAAGTTCTCATGGATTTTGTGTGGAATTACTTTTCTGATAAAAGCTCAATCCAATTTGGTCAGCAGCATGTTGTGATCAGCGAGAAAACGTGGGTGAGGGCACATTTTAGTTACATATTTTAACCGCACAAACAATTTTGTTTCTAAAAGCATTTTAATTTTTGAAAACTTTCTTGGACAGGCCATTGTACTTTCAACATGATGGTCACTCAAGAACAATAGTTGGAATTCAAGTCAAACATCAACAGAATGGAATTCTGGAATATAATCTTCTAGTTTTGGACCCTGCTCATGTAATTTATCTTCGTTGCCAGCTTCATACTTCGTTGTTATTATCTGTTTTCTTGATTGTCATTTAGATTACTTTGAGAAATTGCATATCATACAAACGGCTTTTTAGATTTATTATGGGTGAGAAACTAAAGGAAAAAGTGTCGGATGTAGTGAAATTGATGTTAGCCAAAAAAGGTCTTCTCATATAAAGGACTACAGGACTACTGAGAGTGGAAGGATGGATTTGAGTTTTGCTAGACACTTTTTAGGGATCCAAAAGATAATGATGGTCTTTTCCAAATCCAAAAAAAAAAAAAAAAACAAAAAAACAAAAATAGAGTGGTGATTCAAAAGTCATGCTATATGAGCAGAGAGCTCTCACTCCTTTAGTCGTGAAATGCAAATAGATTACTTGAATAGAATTTGTTGATCTTATTTTATAAAGTCAGTTAAAATCCAGAAATTATGGAAGAACTTAGCTCCCTTATTCCTTTCTTCTATTCTTTAATCTTACCAACGGAAGTGAAAATCAATATTTGCTTCTTCCCTTTATTATTGTCATCATTATTTTTAAATACAACTGAAATAGGTTTGAGCTTTACCTTCCATAAGTCGTTTGCAGTTTTCTTGTCAAGTATTTTGTTCTCCAACTTGTTGAAAGAAAATAGTACGTGACTTTGATCGACACTAGGGCCAAACTACGAAGCAAAGTATATCAGGATTATCACGCATCCGTGATAATCCTCATTTCTTTGGTTTGACTAGTATGAGCTTTATAAGTCATTTATTTTAACAATAGTTGGAAGTAGTGTGGACGCGTTCTCCATCTTCCTCTCTCTGTATAACACACACAAACACATATAAAAGGGTATTCTGCAGCATGCATGTTCTATACTGATGATGCATCCTTTCAAGTTTCATATGTTGTAATTTATTATTATAGAGTACAGCTGCTCTTGAAAGATCGCTAAGGCAGAAAGTTGGATGGCAGAAACTCATAAAAAGAGGAATGCATACACTGAAGAAGCCACAATACCAGGTCTTAATTCTTGTAACAAAGATTTATAATTGCGTTGCATAAATAAATGATTGGGCTTGATGGTCTTGTTTCTATTTCAGTTGTGTTATGTTGATCCTGGAATCGCTAGTGAAGAGGAGATGAAAAAACTCAAGACAATTGATAGTGTCCTCCTTGAATTTTAGACAGCCATGTAAAGTGCTTTGCTACGCCCAGGTACTATCTTCTATTCTATTTCATGTCATTGAATTATTTTTCATGGCTTTTATTCGGACTGTAATTTCATAACATGAGAGAAGAAATTTAAGAAAAAACCTAGTTCTATAAAGTATAAATTGATATTGATACTTCTCATAGTTACAAATACCAGATCTGTATAAAATTATTGTCACGAACCAACTCCCCAAAAGTTTAAGTTATTGGGTGAAGACACATAAATGATCTTATTACATCTCTAACATATTGATATCATATTCAATGCAACCCTTCACACAAGAGCCCTTTGGGCGTGATATGTGGACAATGCACAGACCCACCTACCTTGTGCTGAAATTCAACCTTTTATTAGAATAATAGGGGTGGCAGAGATTGAATTCTAGACCCCTTGGTTATAGGGGCTCTGATACCATATAACAAACCAACTCTCTCAAAGGTTTAAGCTGTTGGGTGAAGGCATGTGAATGGTTTTATTGTATTTCTAACATATTTATATTATATCTAACAAATGTCAACCTATGAGGTCTCTTCAAAGCTCTGTAACCTGAATAACCTTGAATAAAGTCCTACCTCTGCAGTTATTAGGGTTGAGTGGGAGCCCATCTCTACAATTTTACCTTTATCCATGACGATTATGGTATCTGAGTTTATTACGGTGGAAAGCCTATGAGCTACTGTAATCTGGGTGGTTCTTGAACACAAGGCACTGATTGCTTTTAAAGCATTTACAATAACTCTTTCAGACTCAGCATCAAGAGCACTTGTTGCTTCATCGAGGAGTAATATTGCGGGCTTCTTTAGTAAGGTTCTGGCAATGGCTATTCTCTGCTTTTGTCCTCCTGAAAGCTGGCAGCCTTTCTCTCCAACAACAGTGTTATATCCGTCTGGTAGGTTACTTACAAATTCATGTATGTTTGCTTCTCTGGCAACCTCCACTATTTCACTTTCAGAAGCCCCATTATTGCCATAGCAAATGTTGTCTCTAATTGAGAAATTAAATAGCAGTGGCTCTTGCTGTACCAGCCCTATTTGTGCCCTCAACCATCTTAGATTATATCTCCGTATGTCTTTCCCATCAATTAACACCTTTCCCATACCTGGATCGTAAAATCTTAGTAAAAGAGCCAAAACAGAGGATTTTCCAGCACCACTTGGTCCTACAAAAGCCACCTTTAATCCAGCTTCAATTTGTAAACTGAAATTGTCAAGAACAGTGACCTCCGGTCTTGAAGGGTAGTTGAATTTTACATTTTGAAACTCAATATTTCCTTGGATCCTCTCAGGTTGGGAATCATCCGGTATATCCGGTTCAATTTCAGTTTTACGGTCAAGGGTTTTGAATGCCGGGGTTAGTATATTGATAGCTGAGATGACAGTTGGGATCAGTGTGTATAATTCTGTGATAGAAGGAATTGTGAGAGAGAAAATTTGGTATGATCTTATTCCATTTTTAAAGGAGGCTTGACGTCTTTCAACCAGAATTGTTGTGTACCACAAAGCAACGGCGTGTGCAATATTCCACAAGCAAAGGGAGAAGCCTTGAATGATCCCATATTTGATACTTTCTTTCCTGTACATTTTCTTCGGAATTTCCAGAGATGTTTTGGCTTTCTTCAGTACTTCTTCTTCATGACAAAATGATGCAATAGTCCTTATGTTGGTAGCGGACTCAGATGCAAGAGCAACAAGCTCAGAATGTGCAGCAGAGTAGTCACCTGAAAATCCTTTGGCAGACTTGGCTTGAATGAGACCACCTATGAAGTGGCAGGGCATCACAGCCCAAGCTACCAAAGCCATTCTCCAGTTGACAATCAGACTGACTACTGTTGCTATCAGTATGGAGGAAACACATTGCACAATCATGGACATTCGATCAGCAATAATGATTTTGACCATGGCAGTGTCACTGATAATGCGTGAAGTTAATGAACCAACAGTGTTCTCAGATTCGTCAAACCAGCCTACTTCGTTACGAAGCACTCCTGTAAAAGTTGAAAGGATTATTGACTAGTGTTTGTTAAATCATACTGGGATTTTATCTATATGATGCATTGTTTTAGGCTTTTTAGCTTGTGCCTCAGTTTTTTTTCTCCAGGAATTAGAATTTAGGTGAATATGCAGAAATTCTAATTTGGGAAATCTGATACCTGAATACAGAGCTCGTTTGAGATTTGACATGGCCTTTTCTCCAACCACTCCAAAGAAGTAATGCTGGACGGTATGACTGAATAATGAAAGCAACCCTATTGCTGAGAAGATGGCTGAATAAAACCCAACTTTCCTTTTTGCATCTTCTTCAAAGTATGCTACTCCAATGGTGATGATGTAGAATCCAAAAACTGGTTTTGAGATGCCAGAGAAAGCTGCTGCAAAAGAACCAATAGCAATCTTCACCAGCTCCCTCTTTTTTAAATCAAACCAAATTCTGAAAAATGTATTTCTTTTTGTTGTGCTTTTCTTGTTCTGTTCCTTTTGCACAGAATGCTCATTGAGATTTCTTTGGACCTCTCTCTGATTCTCTGGTAGTGGTCTAGTTTCATCAGGAAAATCTTGTTGGCGGGCACTTTTATTTTTGGAAATTGTAGTTCTATCCAGTAAACGTTGAAAGCTGGTTAGAGTTCTTCCCCCACACCTTTTGGTTCGTGAAATACTTGAAAAAGCGAACACTGAATGGCTAATTACCTGGATTCAGGAACTGGTTCAAGGTTTTGCATGCTGAATAATGCACTATAGAATGCGCTAGTGTCTAGCAAACTCTGGTGTGTTCCTGTCTCTACAACTTGTCCATTCTCTACTACAGCAATAATATCTGCATTTACAACTGTTGAGAGCCTGTGTGCTATCAAGATGACAGTCCTTCCCTGCATGGCTGTCTCAAGTGCTTCTTGAACCAGCTTTTCGGACTCTGAATCAAGGGCACTAGTGGCCTCATCAAGCAAGAGGATGGGAGGATTTTTCAGAATGGCTCTTGCTATTGCAATTCTCTGTTTTTGACCTCCTGATAATTGGACACCCCTTTGTCCTACCTGGCAATCATTATGGCCGACATATGGGCTCATAGATGTTATTAAATGAAGAAATATGTGTTTCCGGAAGACATGTTTTAAAATGCCTCAGCGGGTTGGTTGACTTGTTTTGGGTTGGTAGCTTGCACGGACTAACGAGATGTTATAGATGATAGAATTTTTTTTGAAAGAAGTATGTTAAAAAAATTAATTTGTATTTAGGAATAATATTTGAAAGAGAGTTTAGAAAAATTAATTTTGTTTGAATCATATAGTAGAATTATTTTTGAAATGTGACTTCAGGTATGTATTTAAAAATTTTGTGAGTTTTATACTTAAAAAATCAATTTCACTTTTTTGGGTTTTAAAATTTGGCTTTGTATTTCTTATTTACTTCCTTATCGTCGTACTTCCATCCTTATTTTTAGTTATATGGCATTAAATTAGAGAAGGATCAGAATACAAATAATGTAAATTAATACAATAAAAGGAAAATCAAACAAGACGTAATTAAGCTAAAAAGATGAAATACTAGATTAAGTAGCTCACCTCTGTTAGGTACTGATTAGGCAGCTGTGATACGAAAGAGTGTGCATTTGACATTACCGCTGCCTTTTGTATCTCTTGATCATCTGCTTCCATTTTCCCCACTTTCAAGTTATCCTTGATGGTGCCTGCAAAGAGAGATGGTTCTTGGGAAACTGTCCCTATATTGCTTCGAAGGAACTTCAGATCAAGATCCTTGATATTGTGATTATCAATAAAGATTTCTCCTGGAATATATTAAACAATGTCAGGCTTGGCACCACACTGTTTGGCATCCAAGATCATACAATACTATCAATTTTGATGTACCTTAAAGAGTTTTTTTAATTACTATTCAATCTATGTTTATAGCTCATTTAATGAGTTTGACCATGTTCACAATTATACGATGTGTTAAATTCATTGACTGATGTATTTACACATTATATGCAAATTGTATTTATAGGTTGTCATACAAGGTGTAAATGTATTTGTTTAATATATTTGCTTGCATTAATATAGTTTTTGTAACATCCCGAGCGCTGACGAGGGCGGGGAGTGATCACCGGTGCGAAAGGGCATGGACAAGGAGCGGCTCCTGACAGGCTTCCAGTGGGGGGTTACATGCATGAATGAATTGAATCGACACTCGAAAGAAAGAGATTCCAAAGACTGTGCAGGTATGAGACTGCACAGTTTGAGAGAGCTTATAAGAATTAATTGGTACTACCTATACTAACAAGATGCATCTTCTTTTCGGTAGCCCGGAACGGAAGAACTCCACAGTTAAGCGTGCTTGACTTGGAGCAATTCTGGGATGGGTGACCTCCTGGGAAGTTTTCTCAGGAAGTGTGCGAGTGAGGAAAAAACACACTGAAAAGTCTTGTGTTAGTATGTGGGGATAGTCATTGATTCCTGAAGCGGTCGGGCGTTACAAGTGGTATCAAAGCAGGGCCTCTCTTCCAGTACGGTGTGGTTCGAGGACGAACCAGGCGGAAGCTGGTGGGTATGTAACATCCCGAGCGCTGACGAGGGCGGGGAGTGATCGCCGGTGCTAAAGGGCATGGACAAGGAGCGGCTCTTGACAGGTTTCCAGTGGGGGGTTACATGCATGAATGAATCGAATCGACACCCGAAAGAGAGGGATTCCAAAGACTGTGCAGGTATGAGACTGCACAGTTTGGGATAGCTTATAAGAATTAATTGGTACTACCTATACTAACAAGATGCATCTTCTTTTCGGTAGCCTGGAACGGAAGAACTCCACAGTTAAGCGTGCTTGACTTGGAGCAATTCTGGGATGGGCGACTTCCTGGGAAGTTTTCCCGGGAAATGTGCGAGTGAGGAAAAAACACACTGAAAAGTCTTGTGTTAGTATGTATGGATAGTCATTCATACATGCATGAATGAATCAAATCGACACCCGAAAGAAAGGGATTCCAAAGACTGTGCAGGTATGAGACTGCACAGTTTGGGATAGCTTATAAGAATTAATTGGTACTACCTATACTAACAAGATGCATCTTCTTTTCGGTAGCCCGGAACGGAAAAACTCCACAGTTAAGCGTGCTTGACTTGGAGCAATTCTGGGATGGGTGACTTCCTGGGAAGTTTTCCCGGGAAATGTGCGAGTGAGGAAAAAACACACTGAAAAGTCTTGTGTTAGTATGTATGGATAGTCATTGATTCTTGAAGCGGTCGGGCGTTACAGTTTATTTCTGGTAAGAAATAAGCACATCAGCATTAATCATATGATAAAATAGAGAAATAAAAGAAAAAGTGAAAACAATTAAAACTAACCTCTGGAAGGGTCATAAAATCTGGTAACGAGGGAAATGACAGTGCTCTTTCCACACCCGCTGCTACCAACTAGTGCTACTGTCTTTCCTGCTGGAATTGACAAGGACAGTCCTTGAAGGATAGGTTTCTCTGGCCTTGATGGGTAGGAAAAGTGAACATCTCTTAGGTCAATGTAACCTTTAATCTCCCCAGGCATATCCCCTTTTGATTCATTATTTATTAGTGGCTTTCTTTGGATCACTTGGAAAACCTCATATCCTGCAGCTTTTGCCTGATTGAATATTTGCATGTCTGGTGCTGCATAAGTGATAGATCTGCAATTCACAAGGAGAGTTAATTTTGTTACTCCATTATTAACCTGTTTCTCCATTCCTAACAAGCCTGAAGGTTATAGTGTTAGCTTCCTTACATGGCACCAAAGAGAATGCTCAACACTGCAGCTATTATGTCTCCCCCCTTTGCTCTTCCGGCTACGACCACAACAGCTCCAACCCATACAATGACAGCCCAAGAACAGAAACTCACAGTTTGAAACATCCCTGTTCCAACTCCCTTCACAAGTGCCTCCCCTTTGCTTATAACGTACTGTTCGGCCATGTTCTCTGTGAAGGATTTGATTGCAGAGCTCTCTCCAACAAAAGCATATACTGTTTTTATATGTGATATTGTCTGCAATATCAATATCAGAGCTTGTTAAAGTAGGCTGACTTAAGTTGATTAAGTTATGTCACATTTATGTGACATAAGAAGTAATTGAAGGCGGGACCTATATATATGTATATACTCATACCTGCTCTATCATAGATGTAGCTTCTGAATGGTAAAGCATTTTGGTGGTTGATATGGTGTTCATTTTCTTGGAGTAAGTTGCCCCAATTAGAAGAATAAGCGGGACAACCACTAAACACAGAAGCGCCACTTCCCAACAGCTTATGGTAGCAATCACAATTCCAGCAAAGAAAGTAGCACAGCTTGAGGTGAAGTGACCCAACTGTGAGTAAGAAATACACTTTGAGGTTCAGTCATAAAATGTTGTGAAGGAAGAGGGAAGAAGGGTGAACGCGATCATGATTGATTTGCTGACCTTCTCACCAATGGCATCTTGAATGACACTCATGTGCTTGCTTATTCCACTGATGACTTTTCCACTTGTTAACTCTGTATCAAAAGCCCCTACCTCTTGGCTGAGGACTGCTTTTAGATAAGCTAATCTTAGGCGTAATAACTGTCTTTCACTTGCATACATCCAACAACCAATCTCTGCATTAGTTTCAACATGATCAGGGCAAAGAACGTTCATAAATCCCCAAGCTTAATTAACAAAGGACTACGCACCTCGAATATATTCTAACACAAGTAGATATGTAAACAAATATATACATTAGATAGATTGCTAGTAATATATTTCTTTGACATCCTTGAAATTAAGATGTGTACTTAATGGAATTAAAAAATATAAAATTTTAATTGTTTGATGATAAAATTTAAAAAGTAAACTGTTATGTATGCATGATTTATTATGTCAATACTTGTATTTTATAAAATATTAAATTCTTAATTTTTTTTTTATCAAAGTTAAAATTATTATAGACTTCCTTACTAAAGTCAATTACTCGGTTTAAAAGATGAAAAAGTAAACACAAATTGTCTCCATATAAGCACTGGATTACTATTAAATCAACTTGATATGCACGAAAGAAAAAACATACCAAGTATCCCAGCAGGAAATGTGGCGATGGCCATGTACCACACATATGGAACAACCTGAACCCAACAAGAACAACAATCGTATTAATCTATTCAAATCAAATTAAGTTCTAGCGACAAGGAAATTTATGCAATTTAATGGTCTCTCTTACAAGGTGTGTATTTCAACTCAAAATCTTAAGGTGTTAGGTGATGACCTTTCTAATGATTTATATTATTCTCTAACACATTCCTTAACACAAGAACCATTTGACTTTGAAGTGGGAATATTGCGCAAGCTTTATTTTTTTGGTTTATCTTGTGCTTATTTTAATTTCATTCGAATGCGAGGGATAGTGAAGATCGAACTCGTGACCTTGTGGTCCCTGAAGCTCTAATATCATGTAAAAAATCATTTCAACCAAAAACTTTAAGGTGTTGGGTGGGATCTTTTTAATGATTTATATTGTTCTCTAATATCGTGAATATCCAAATCCTTTTTCAAACAGTATTTACTATTTAGAGTGGGTTTGATTTTTTTTTTTTAAATTTTTAATTGACATATTTTTATTACTAATTATAAAAATATCATCCTATTATTATTTTTAATTTACAAAAAATAGTAAAAATATAATCAGATGATCAAAATCAAAATAACAAACCGAACTAGTGCGTTGTCACATGATAGAAGTTGTGAGTATTTATAAAGTAAGAAAAAGTTACTGCCGTATACCATTTAATTTAACATGAGATATAATTAATACAAAATACTACATAACATTTCCTTGCTAGAAAATATTCACCGTAGTGCTTAGTATTTTTTTATTTTATATTATTTATAAATTTATTGATTACTTGATTAGTTCAATTCTAGTCGAATATGAATATATGAAAAATAGTTAGCACTGAACGCTCTAAAAGAGTTCATGTTGCATTAAAAATAAGAAGTGAATAGAATAAATACAAATAAGTGGAACATTTTTTTTCCTAACTTTAATAATTAATGTAGTGAGTGTTCAGTGGTACTGAAAATATTCTCTGAACATGTAAGAATTTTTTGTACATGTAAGTACTAGATACCTTTTTAAGAGCACGAACCATGGCATCTGGGTCTGTAATATTGTTCCCAAAAGCATTAAGAGCTTTTCCCAACAAAAGATAGCCAACAGGAAGGGCCATGCCATGCACAATCGAACCTATAGTTCCCAAACCCATAAGAATCCAGTCTACTAAGTCAGCATAGCTCAAGAGTTTGAAGAATGGCAATGCTCTGACAACGTTCTTGTTCGGTTCATCACGACCATTTTCTTCTGTCATATCCCCCATTTCCACTACCTTTTGTTGTTTGCTGGGAGCCATTATGACGAACACTGCATTAATGTTATCGGATGAGGGATACGCTGACTGAATATATAGACACGTTTCTATACATTTCATTGTGCATGATAAGAATGTGGCAAGAATATGCCTTTAAGAGATTACTTTCAATTTAAAAAATAGTAAGAGAGTGGCTTTATGTTCTTGGTTGAATTCACTTGTTTGGTCGATGTTCCCAAAGTTGGTGACGGTCGATTTTTAGCACAAATTTACCATAGCGATGTGCCCAAAATTGTTTTAATATTGCAACCTATTTGATTAGAATTATCTTAACGTAATATGATTCATGATTCTTCTTTTTTTTTTTCTTTTTTTTTCTTTCTTTTTTTGGACTTTTGTGCGATTTCTATAGCATAAAGTCACGTACATGTCATTACTGATGTATGCTTACAATCTAACGACCTCAAATTCTATAATATGGCATGTAATCCGATTACGAAACAAAAGTATTCAAAGATGTTTAGGATATTCTCTTTGTTTTTCTGGGGAAGATAAAAATATGTGGACATGCAAACGGTGAGTTCTTATAATTCCAATGTTTCTACGTGATTTTTTCAGCTTACGGTTGAAAGTTAGAAGTAATTATTCTGTTTATATTGTGTCGTTTTCACTTAGGTGGTGCGGCTAAATAAGATTCAACTCGATGAAAGACTATGGACAGTTGTAAGGAAATCATAGGATATAACAAATAAGGAAAATGAAGCTTACTATAATAATAATAATAAGCACTTTACACCTCTTTATAACTGTTAACAAATTTACTTTATATCATAGTAGCTTACTGTATATTATGTGTATTAATAAACAAAATAGAACATTAATATTTGTTATACCAAATTTTTATGTTTTTTGGATCAATGTATGTGTGCATGGGTATACGAGGAATTCTTCGAATTTCTAAGTATTTAAAATTAGGTTAAACGTTTTTTTATTTTAAAGGATACAAGTTGTGTCTTTTAGCTTCTTATAATTATGTACTCTAGTTACAAAAAAAAAAGTTATAAATTAGTTTATCCTTTTAAAGAACACAAGTTGTTGTGTTATTTTATCTGCTTATAAGTTATAACGTATTCCGGTACGTATATAGTTATAATATTAAACTTATATTTTTCACTTTTTACATCTGCCGACAGGTTCTGAAAAGAGAATTTTTTTTTTAATATTATAACTATGTACTTCCTGAAGTACATAGTTATAAACAGTTTTAGTGACATAATTTGTGTCATTTAAAGAGACAAATTATTTTCCCTTAGAATTAATCATAAAGATATATTTTAAAAAACTTATCCAACTCACTCTATTTATAAACCGTAAAGACTGGCCAACAAGATCCTATGTAATATGTATGTGTACGTGAAATTATGATCGATATAGCTATTAATGGGTTATATATTTATATTTAGGGAAAAACAAATGTTATGTTACATGAAAATTTTGTTTCCTTCTACTCTCAGATTGTTTTCCGTGCAAGTTTTTTTCTTTATTTTTTTTCCCTAATATTTGGTGGGTCCTACACAAACATGTCTCTGTAACATGATGTATCCATTTTCATGTTACATGACATTAACAAAACCCTTATATTTAAGGGTTATGTTTTTATCATGTTATATGAGAAGATTTTTTTCTCCTGCTAACACAATAAATATTTGGGGGCCACATATTTGCTGTGTTAGTAGAAGAAGAAAATGTTCTCTTATGATAGTAGAAAAACATAACCCTATATTTAATTAGGGAATAAAACATCTTCTATTGTTATAAAATTATTAATCTCCTGCGATGCGATAGAGATAAGATTATGGATCCCATTTTTTTTAAACAAAATAGAAAAATAAAATATCTCCTAGTACAATTTTTGAACTCTCAGCTGCAATTAATTCTTTACCCACGCAATAGAAGAAGTGATTTGCCCATTTAATTAATAGCCATGTGGTAAGGGTCAGGGGTCACGTGGTCGTGGGTTCGATTTCCATAGACGGCGACAATGTTCTATCTTAGAGACAGAGATGTCCAGCCCAATGGATTTGTATGTTAATCTTGAATCTAGTGCCCTCTCCAAGGTAGAGATACCCTTGAGTCAAGTAGATCACTGTGCACAACGAAATAATAACGACGTTAGCCAAAGGGGTGTGTGTGCGCACAATGACAGCATAACAGTAAGAGAGAGCGTAACGTACCTTTAGAGTTTACCTTGTATTTATAGAGATTACCTGTGGGTAGTATGATATGGGCTTTTGGTGCCTCTGATAAGGGCTCAAGCCTATTTGCTATGTTGTGATTGCTGTTGTATTAGGATTAGAGTGCGCATGACAACCTTCCTAGAATCAATTCTTTTTTAATTTCTGTTCCTGGTAACAAAAATGGATAAGAAACTTGTTTGGTAAAACCAATTTATTTTTTTGTTCCCGGGATGAACCAATTTAATTTTTGTGATGGGGAACAGAAAAAGGAATAAAAAAATTTCTGTTTTTTTGTTCCCTGGCATAAAATGAGAAACACTTGTCTATCTCAATTACTCTCCACCACCACCATTATCTCGATAGGATCACCACTACCATTGTCGTTGTTGTCGTTGTACCACCAATGTCGTTGTCACCACCACCACGATTCCACTGCCACCATCACCACCATCTCCACCCATCACCACATCAGCACCACCATATCACCACAACCACCACCATGCCACCACTACCACTACCACGCCACCACCACCACTATTGCTGTAGCCATTGTCGTCACCATCACCATCGCTGCCACTGCCACCAACCACCACCTTCGTCGCAGCCATTGCTGTCACCACCACCACCATCGCCATCAACTACCACTACCGTCTTCGCAGCCACCGGCACCACCATCATGTCATTACCACCACCGCCGCCGGCACCACAATCACCACCACCACCTTCGCCACCACTACTGCCATAACCACTGCCATTATTGCTGCAACCACTACCGTCACCATCACCACCATGCCACCGCCGCCGCCAACAACCACCATCGTGCCGCCGCCACCGCCACCACCATCACCATAGCCACTGTCGTCACCACCACCATTACCACCGCCACCAACTATCACCATCGTCGTCACAGTCATTGCTGTCTCCAGCACCACCATGTCATTACCACAACCTTCGTCGTCGACACCACCATCGTCATAGCCACTGCCGTCACCATTACCATCATGCCACCGCTACGCCACCAACAACCGCCACCATCGTCGTAGTTACTGCCGTCACCACCACCACCACCATCGCCACCATTACCACCGCCACCAACTACCCCCACCGTCGTCGCAGCCACTCCTGTCTCCACCACCACCATGTCATTATCACCACCACTACCACCGTCGTTGTCGCCGCCACTACCACTACCGTCGTCGCCCCCCGCCACCACCGCCACTATTATCACCACCACGCTGTCACTGTCGCCGCCACCACCACACCATATGGAAAAGAAAGTGTAATATGAAAAAAAATTATGCTTAACAGGAATTATATTTTATTAAATTATTTGTTATGTTATCAAAAGCAATTATCATTCTCGGAATAAAAATAGAACATGTTATCAAACACATTTTTTTTCTCAGAAACTGTTTCAAGGCACAGAAATAGAAAAGAATTGTTTCTTTTCAGAAACAATGTCAGGGAACAGAATGGTTGTCATGCACACCCAGTATCCTTGATAGATACTATCCATAATTATAATTGATTCGTATCTTGAATTGCCCATTATTGAACTTGCCATTCAATGTGCCTCTTATGCGATTCCATAACACCATAATTCTAGCAATTTTTATTTGTTTAGCGAGAGGTTATGTTTGAAGCCCGTTAAAGATTATGACAGTTGTAATGAATCATAGGATATAATAAAAATGAAGTCTACATATTGATGTGCAGTTGTCGTCGTATTCTTCTGCTAGTCTGAGACACTTTGTTCAACTAATCTTTCTCTTTGTTCACACAATTAAAAATATTGTTAATAATATGTTATTTAATATAATTATTAGTATTATTAAATTCGACCCGAACATTGATCCGATTAGGATATTAAATCATTGATTAGACCGATTAACTCGGATATATATATATATATATATATATATATATAACCAGGTTCCAATTTGAGTCTGGGCCAAAAATTATATGCGTATTTATTTTTCTTAATTTTAGTTAGTTCATATTATAATTTATCTAAATTATATTTATACAGAGCACCTGAGCAGGTAGCACCAAAAAGAGTTATAATTTTATTGAATAACTTTTAATTTTACTAAAAATATTTTATTTTATTTTTATACAAGTGAAAATTGAACACATAACCTAATACAACTTACCCAAATCTCTTACCAAAAATATTTTAAGTTTTATAGAGCCAAATTACAAATTGTAGCCCGGGCCAAATTATAATTTTAACCCAGACCAAATTATAATTAATTATATAATTATATATAATAAGTACAATTTGTTAAAAATTAGCCCAGGCCGAGGCTACACTGAGGTTATATGTAGCTCCGCCACTGAGTATGTCAATTTAAATTGCAACGTAGAATCCCCATAAGCATACCTCTCAATGATATTCAAAAGACCAGATTTTGTGAACTCATATTTTTCAAATTCATTCACATTGAAATGACATGTGCCACATTCTCTTAATTTATTGTTCCGCAAATTACTTCAGTATTGGAAGTTGAAATTTGAGATCATTGAAGAAGAGTATACTACTAGCAAATAAAATTATAAAATTTTTTAAAATGAGTTTTATATTTTTTTCTGACAAGATGAAACAATTTTGGTTTTTTATTTTTATTTTTTATAAAAATTCATGACCTATCCAGGTCACCAATTTTGATCAGGTTCGATGCATGATCGGTCAAATGCTTAACTTGAATCGAATCATCGGGTTCTAGGTCGTGCTGGGTTTCATAACACTGATCATTACCATCCATCTCTTAGATAAAATATTATATTGATTCTATTAATAAAAAA